AGTACCTTTTCAAAAATATTTGATTTTTAATAAAAAGAAAATATAAAGGGTTTTAATTGATTAAAATATTCAGTAAATAACGTGTTTTGGGATAAATAAAAAGGGTTATTGTTTTTAATAAATTAAACAGAAACAAATTAGGTTTTGGCATAGTCAAAGTTCAGCGATTCGATACCCTTTTTAATGACAATAATTTATAAGCCAAACAAAACGTTGTGCATTTAACTGAATAATGAAAATAAAATAATAAAAAGCATGAATTTGATCTTAAAATGAGAAAGGGATAAGCAAATAAGCTAGATGCTGGCCATCAGAAAAAAGTATGGTATAATTTTCGCCATGTTGTTTGTGCCAAACCCTGTGGCTTATTTATATATTTTTATTATTTTTCTTTTTCTTTTTTTATTACTCATGTGCCTGGGCAATGTTTGCGTTATTTCTTTGGTTCAACGGCTTATGAAATTATGATAGTAAAACCCGACCGACTACGGCAATGGCAATGGCAATGGCAACGGCAGCCATTTGAAAACTCGTAAATCAACCCACACGCAATGTCTGCTCCGTTTGGCAAATATAAAAAGAATTTTTTCAGCTTTCTTCTGAAAAGTATAGCAACAAACACACAAGAGAAAAATTCAATTATTTGCCATATGAAACGGTCATTGACTGACTGATGGTCAATGGCAAAGGTTGCTCCTTTCTTTGTTGTCCTGCCGTTACCCTTAACCCTTGGGGTTGGCCATTAATGTTTACGAGACAGCCAAGAAAGTTACAATATATATATATGTTATGTGTATGTATATGTATATATTATTTTTGGGCTGTGGCAGGGCAACCCCATAAACATTATTCCTATTGATATGTACTGGCTGTAAACACTAAAACCTGCTGCTGGTGACGGTGGCAAAATAAATGAAATTAGAATTTCATTCCCTAATCTGAATTTACAATTAAGCCCCAGCTCATTGGCGCACAACGGGCGACTCATTATCGCATATTGAGTTTCCAGTTTTCAGAGTTTTAAAGCCGCAAAATCGCGTTCACATCCTATATGCCCATTTCCCTCCCATCCGGCCAATCTGGGCGACAGTTCGACAGGAAGTGGAACGAACGGAGCGATGCGGTGCGGCATGAAGGTCATACAGTTCGATGGGCAGGGCATAGCTCCGGCTTATTTACTGCCCACATGTGTGTGTGTGTGTGTTTGTGTGAGTGTCGCACCCCAAGGATCAGCATCCGGCTGCCATCCTTCCACTCCCCATCCTATCATCCTTTGGCTGCAGGCTGCATGCTCATGTGCTCATCGCTGATGATGGTGATGGTGGTGGTGTCATGTCGGCGTAATGGTCGAAAAGGACGAAAATCGGGACTTTGCGTGTGGAATGACTTCTGCGTCCCGCATTTAAATGAAGGCAAGCTTAAATGGATTCCCTTGGGTGCCTTCGCCCTGGGGATGAGTTTAAATCCACTTCTTCAGCTCGGATTGATTTTCGCCTGTATTTAGCCTGGCCCGCATCCTTACCAATTAAGTTTGCACCTGTGGCCCCTAATTGAGTTCTTGCCTTGTGCGACTTTTTATTTTGGCGTCGGAATTCATTTAGTGTGTCGAGTGCAGAGTGCAGTATCTTGGCGGTGGTGGAGGCAAAGATGGAGCAGGTGTGACATCTGGGACTCAAGTTATCCTCCACGTGCCACTGCCTGCCTGCATGGCTGGCTTCTCGGCGAAGAACACTACACACACACACACATGAGACGGTGTCCTATTTATGGGGAATAGTCTCTCTCTCTCTCTACCTTTTTTTTTTGTAATTAAATAATAATTTAGCAAGCTGGGGGATAGAAGGTGAAGATGCGATGACGAACCCGCCTACGCGAGCCAACGCCACTCTCAAAGTAACCAAAGCAACAGCATATATAACATATAGAAAGAGATACACAAGGAAAAACTGTTTAAATATATTTGTATTTATTGTAAACATGAAATTCCGATTTAATTGCTAAACTAAATATATAATAAACAACAAGAATTGAGCAAAACTGTTTTATTAAGAAGCTTTTCTTCTTTAAAAAAGATAAACATATTTAAATAGATGCTTTGTTTTGATAGATAACATTTAATGTTAAAAATAATAAGGATAATGTGTAATAATTATATTTGTTGTATCCCTCAACAATATTTTAGGAATGAATTACATTTAATGTAACCCAGTTCGTTGATTTTTCTGATAGATTTCAAATATTTTTAAAGCATTTCTTACCCATAAATCAATATTAATATATAAATAGCTTATACATTATCAATTTCAATGATTTAAACTATAGGTAAATTTAAACCTTCTTAAGCCCATAAACTGTGCTAAGTAGAATTTTCCTTAGTGTATACATTCGTGTGTATATTCGTGTGTGTATCTGCGGTTTAATGTCAGACACTCGACGAGTTTATGGGGTCGTTGTTTTTCATGGCCAAAACAAAATGAGTGTAGTTCTTGATGAACTACTCACAAATGTTTTAGCAATTTCAGTTTGCTTCCATTTCTCCCGGTCTAAGGACACTCTCCTCTGATTATTAAATTGCTTTTCGCAAACCAAAATTTGTGAGTGTGCGTGGCCACCTCAGATAGAAGCCACATGTTGTCACCGCGGCGGAATGTTAGGTTTTTCCAGCCGCAAACACCATCACCCGCAGTGACAGCAGCAGCAGGAGCATTTGCACCTTGCATCAGCATCAGCATCAGCATCAGCATCAGCATCAGCATCAGCAGCAGCATCAGCATCAGCGGTGGCAAACACAAACAATTAGCCTTGCCAGTTGCAGTTTGGCCGCAGGGCCAACGGTGCGTATGCGTGATTTATGAATGCGGTTCACGATTTTGCGGTTATTAGGCCTGGGCGTGATTAGTACACCCGAATTTTAGGAGAGTGAGAGTCGAGGAGAGGTTAATTCAATTAGTGTTGTGTTTGCATTCGACCCTAGCCAACAGCAGTGCTTTGTTTCACTTAAAATATATGTAGTATATGCAATATATGCAATTGTATGTGCTGGCACAAATTCGATAATTGATTTAGACAATCAATGCACTTTAACTTGAGGCAATCAAGGAGTCTGTATAAATATTGAGCCGATTTTCTGCTCCTTTGCCTGCCAGTGTCTCCAACAAAATCCACATATATAAACGATTTCATGTGTATTCATACACATACATATAAAAACAATGACTTTTGTTGGTATTTTATTTTTTGTTTTGCCGCATTCCCAATGAAAACTGAAACTGAAATTTCCCTCCCCTTGGCAGGCAAATGTAATGGCAGTGCAGACACATTGATAGCCACAGAAATGTTGGCAAATAGCAAAAATTTCACCTGAACCAAAAATTCTCTGCAGGCCATCGTGGAGTTGGTTTGTTTGGTATTTGCCTTTGACCAACAGTTATGGCCCATCGGTGGGTGTTAGTCGGTGGGGATGGATGGGGGGAAGGACTGGCCCAGGCTGGGCAGGAAATTCCGAAAAACTACTGGCAATAGTTCTGACAGAATAGAAAATCACAACAAGGCCGGCAGTGGCAGCAACAAACAGCAAACAGTAAAAATCAACAACGGCAAAGAATAAGCAAAAATATTTTCCCTACCTGGCAACAAATTTGCTGGCAAATGAAAAAGCTGTTGGACAGACAAACAGAGGGAGGTTCAATGTGGGTGGTGTTCAGGGAAGGTTGGAAAATATGGATGGACTGATAGATATGCGGATTCGAAATTAATATGAAGAGTGTGCATTCTATGGCTGGCATTGCAGCGGCATACGGGAATTTCCAATGGGTGTTTATATAAAAGCAAAGTTTTTATATAAATTTATATAGAAATGGCAGGCAGGTAGCTGCAATTGATTCAGCAGATTTCCTAACAAAAAATACATCAAACCTTTTTGTGATGTGTGTGTATGTCCTTTGAAATAGTTAATAAGTCAGCAAAAGGGAATCCATTTTGGGTATCAAATAAAACTATGCAAAAGTATTGCAGGTATTTCAGGATTAAAAAGCATTTAAAAAAGGTTTTAAGGTATGCAATGCAGTATTTGCAATTCAAAAATATTTGTTTTAAAAGCGATTTAGTTACTAAAGTTCAATTTAATTCATTTTTATACATTTGCAAGCTATTTTTAAAGTGAAGGAGTCATTTCCGACCCTATAAATCGTATATATTCGTGATCAGCATCGAAAACTCAGTTGATCTAGATATGTTTCAGCGAAAAAGAAATTGGACCCATTTTTTGGAAATTTTATAAGGGGTTACATCATTAAAATGTTCAAAAATTGGCAAAAATCTGAATTTTTAAAATCTTTATATTTTATATGCAGATGTGTTAACCTATCAAAAGTTAGCATAGAACAGCTTTCCGAATTTAAATTGATGAAATTTTACCTTAGTTATGATATTTTTAAATTTTAATATTCCCCCAAAAAGTATCATTTAGATATATAGATTTCAGTTTCTATAATTCACATATTACATATAATATTTGTTGCATTTTAAAGTGAAAATGCTATTTATTTATGTCTTATTTATGAGCGCTTTTAAATAAGTTTCCGTTGTCTTTAGTTCAATTATAAACAGCAAGGATATACAAACTTCGGATTAACAAAGTTAACTTTCCAAAGTTAGTTTCCCTTTTCTCTTTTCCATTCACAACTGACTCGAATTTTATTAAGAGTTGTCCTGCTAAAATGTTTTATTGTTGAAACCAAACTATAATATATTTAAGAGGCCTGCAGAATGAATTTGTATCAAGAGACTACTCAATAATATATTGAGAGAGATATCCGCACCCGAGCACATACATACATACTACATATATGGAGCTCTTGAATGCCTAATTGTGCCGTAATTCAATAATTTCAATTAAATTCTCACAGCACACAAAGAGAACCCATTTCGGATCGAAATAATTTAAATGTGGCCCAGGGATTTCCATAATTGATGACCATTTTCAATTGCTTGTTTTGCAGGAAGCATATCGTCGCTGGGTCTGCAGTACTCTAGTGCCATACTTTGCCGAGCCAAAGGACGTTGCGCCAGGACCAGGAGCAGGAGCAGGAGCGGGAGCGGGAGCAGGAGCAGGATCCTCCGCGGGCAAAAGTAAACGCTCGGCGAGAAGTGCAGCGAGGGGTGAGGTGGCGGCAATGGCAACGGCAACGGCGACGGAGGCGAATGGAATCAAGCATAAATCTCTGAAATTAATCAGCAATAACAATAAATCAAATAACGGCAATAACATGAACGAGCGTCAGATTAATCAGAAGCATGACAAGAGCTCGAATGCGAGAGCAAAGGCAACGAGCCAGGACAATGACCGCCGCCGCAGCAGCAGTAACAGTGTGGAGGATGCGATTGGCAGGGACCTGGCCCAGACATTCTACGATGTTGTTGGCCTGTCTAACTCACGCCACCAGGGTGAGGAGGAGATCCTGGGAGTGGCCATGGGTACGGGCTTGGATGACGGCAATGAACCAGAACCAGAGACGGAGGCGGAGGCGCAGGCGGAGACGGAGTCCGAGGCGGACATGGAGGCTGAGGCCGAACAACAATCCAATAATTTCATATCGACTGCCAATAATTCGGATCCCAGAGCCACGGATCCAGTGATATCAAAACTACACAAGAGGTGAGAGGATAAGTATTCATTTGGGTTTAAATATAATAACTATTTTAACTATTAAGGTAGGATGGAGCCTTGAAGTTATAGCTGACCCTATAGTTAGATTGATTTGAGGAATAGGCTATTGTTTATTTAGTTATAAAGTAAAGAATTAATTCATTCTCTCTCCTGTATCCCCTTAGATCAACACGCAAGGAGGAGTTCCGTAAGCGCCGCCGTATCCGGCCCTGCCTGAGCGTCTGCCAAACCGTGGAACAAAAGTGCCCCTACCTGCTGCCCGCCGATCGCGCTCCAGCGCTGCCCACCCAATATGCCGGCGAGCCGACATTTCTCTGCCTAGGTAATAGATATAATATATATCCTTTTAGATCCTTGAGTGCTCTTACTCATATCTATATCCATCTGACAGATCAAAACATACCCGAGACAGGGGCGCAGTTGGAGAAGTCAAGCTACGGTCCCAACGATTGCTGCTATAGTTATTGCAATGGTCCTATGTCGGGGATCTGCACTGTGTGCCAGAAGTTTGCCGCCCCAAGGATATCGGAGGAGGATGCTTCCACTTCGACCAACTCCAGCCGGCGTGTTCATAACATCACGCTCTCGCTGAGCTCACATCCCGGCGAACATGCCCGGGCCAAGAGCGTGGCTCTGGCTCTAAGGAACGTTAGCCGCACGGGCGGTGATCCGGATGCCATGCAAACCCTGCTCGATCGCCTGCCGTACTATGCCCGCCACGATGGTGTCTTCTACTATGACGAGGAGGGTGATATGCCGCAGGCGCCGCTCTCCGGCGACTGTGCCGCCGTGCCCTCCGTCTCCAGTCGCTGCACAATACCGTACTATGCCTCCGGCACAGAGGCCGTGGCGAATCCGCCCACGCAGCTGCTGGTCTGGCTGAGCGCCCTGCTCGGCCTGCTCAGCAGCTGTGGAGCGGCACGGCAACGCTGGAGCTGTCAGTGGAGCGCAATGGTCGGTGGTCATGGCAGCAGGGTGACGACGGGCACGGGTCGTGGTCGCCAGGCGGTGACCTGCGAGGCCAACTGCCATGAGCAGGAGCTGGTCCGGAGCGGGATCAGGAATAGGAGCACCAGGGAGCAGCCTGCCAAGCCGCCCAAGGCCAAGCCAGCGAAGTCTGCCTTGGGACTCTCGAGCGCATCCCGCAGCTGGTCCTGGTCGTACACGTACAAGATGACGTGCCGGAAAGTGCGATACTTCAGTAGCAGGAGCAAGTTCAAAGGCCTGACCAACTACGGCGGGGACGGGGACTCCCGGCCGAGTGCGGTGCGTGTGCGGGTGCATGTGGAGGAGGAGGGCGGGTGCATTAGGACTAGGAACTATCGCTACTTCTACTACTTCAACTACAACATAAACGATTGGTGGCGGAGATGGTGGCGCTGCCTGAGCACCGGCGCCTTATAGTGCCTGCGAGCGGTATGCGGCCACCTACACCCCCGGGTGGACGAAGCTAATACGAACTCTCCCTCTCTCTGTCTCTCTCCTCTATTTAGCGAAATACTGAACCGAAACAGAAACAGAAATATAAACAAAAATAAAAAAGAATCCATACAAAAAAACCAAAAATGGCCAAAAACCAAATACTTATATAATAGCTAAATCAGAAGCGGATGCATAATACATAGATGTGGCATAAATGATGGCAGGATGGAAAAGGATAAAGGATATGCGTAGCAGACACACAGTAAACACAGACAACCCCCAATGGAAATGCGAATTAAATGAAACGTAAAACAGAAACCAATTAAATATTTATGGTCCTCTTTCCAATGAAATAAAAACAAAAAAAACAAGCATGAATTAATTATAAATCTCTATTGAAACAAAACCAAAATAGCATATTTTATTACAACTAGAACGAAGAATATGAATATTTAATTAAACAAAAAGCAACTGCCACAAGAATAGGTTTTTTAGATAAACGATAACGGAAATACCAAAAAAGAAACAAAAAAATAACATAAAACCAAAAAGATTTAACAAAACGCATACAACTAAAATATAAAACCAAACTGGAGAAACCGATAAGAAATATAAATAGTTAATAATTTAATTACTGGCGAGCGAAAATACGAAAAGTTTAGGTTAGCTAAAAAAAAAACGAAAAACCAAAAAAACTGAAGGCAAATTAAGAAATCCAAATTTACTAGACTAAAAAAAAACTTGAAAACTGCGGAAATGAAGAAAGGGAAACCCCCTTAAGGCAGGCTAGAAGGGAAAAACATAAACAATTTGTCAGAGGCCGCGTATCAACCACCTTTCAAAACAAAAACAAGTAAAATGCGAAACGTGAACTTTACTTAAATTAGTTTAAACTTAAAACCCACACAAAGGCGATTATGTATTGGGAAAATAGCATAGTCGAGAGCGGTGGGAGCGATTTAATTAACAATTAAAACAATTAACGGCAGTGGAAATCCGCTAAAGTGTCTAAAAATGTCTTTATTTAGTTAAAAAAAAGAACCGAGGAAAGGGAATATGAAAATGGAAACATAACAATTTGTATAATCCAAGTAAAAAAAAACAAGAAAAGAGCCAAAATGGAAAAACGAGATGAAGAGTATATAAAGCGCACAGTAAAAACGTATCTTTAAGATTCATCGACCGCCATCGCGAGAACGGGGACTCTAGAGAAATTCGGATTCGGGTAACAAATGGAAGCATTACCAGGATATTTAGACCATGCGCCACATTACAGCCTACATATGTACGGATATATGTATGTATGTACGATAGATATAGTCAACAACAACAATGTGCAACGTAAACAGCAAATAAGGTAGCGATCGAAGAAGGAGAACAACAACAATATGCCTACTATATAAATACTAACAATGAATAATAATACTTTTTGTAATAAAGTGAACCCTATGTAGCATATATATATATATTAATTATATATATGAAATATATATATTTATATAATATATATTGTCTTAACTTATCGTACATAACTTGCAGCAGAAAACGAGAAACCTATGAGAAACAAAACAAACAAAAATCCAATGAGAAAAAAACCCCACAGCAAGAAAAACCAACCCATAAATGAAAAGCAAACAAAACAAAAATGAAACGTAAATAATTAAGAAATATTCAAATAATTAGTCGTATTTGGTATTAACTAATTAACTATTAAAGTAAGTACTAAACAATTTGAGAGAATCTCTGATAGAGCACACTCGCCAACAAACACACACTCTCACTCAGATATAGAGACGCATTCTTTGAGCACTCTCTCCCAACGATTCAGTTCTTCAGATCACCAAATCACCACCTGTCCACCTGTCCACCTGTCCACCTGTTCACCTGTTCACCTGTCACATCCCACACTTCCTTGATACTTTCCCATGTTTCCGGGAAAAGTGTTTGGTTCGTTTTCCTCTCTGAGACCCATTTATCGAACGGTTTAACCCACTGCAGGCAGTGTCAGAGTTACCAAGTTTTTAAGTCTATTAAAGGGAATATATGCTTTTCCGACATGAATTTCTGCGAGAATATTTGCATTAGAAAACTGACGAAATTACTTTAGGAGGAGATATAGGAATACGATGCCGTTGATGGTATGGATTTTGTTAGATGTTGTAGTAGAAACGTAAAGGAAACATGATATAGAGCAGCAGCAGCCTTCACATCTATCATTCTCTCTATAAATCTTTCTATATCTTTCTCTCTCTCTGTGTTTTATTATATATGTATATCAATAAATCATTGTAAATACAGATAAAGTATGAACAATTCAACTCGACTCCATCAAAGTCCTTTATCATTATTACCCAAAGTTTCATTATTCTCCGATTATTTCTTCTACACTTCTTTTTGTGACTTTATGATTCATTCGCCCCAAAAAGTTTCCGCTAATTATGGGTACTCTTTCGATATATATAATATATATATGCGAGATATATAATGCAAAGTATGTGCATGGGGTTTACGTGGCCGAAACAAACTTTTCATTTTATCTCGGCTCGTCGACTGTATGTACATTTTGAGGCGAATGCAAGACATTTTCTAAGCAAAAATAATAAAACAAAAGGCAAGCAGGAGCGGTAGGAGGGCGGGCGGGGGTGATGATACCGTTATCAAAACATTTCAATGGCAGAACGAAACGGAAGCGGAACGGAAACGGAAACGGGGAAACGGAGAAAAAAAGAAGAAGAAAAACAGAGTCAGTAACAGCAAAGGAACAGAAAGAGACAGACAGCCGCTGGCACAAATTGCGCGCATATAGAATGCAAATTGTTATGAATTATTGTGTACTTTTGTAAAACTTTTTGATATATATAATATAGTTAACATGAATAGATGCCTAAATAATAATAAATTAAATGTTAATTTATTTAAATGTAAACAATAAATAGAGAAGGAACTGGACGCGGACGCGTATGCGGAGGGCGGGCAATAGGGCATTTCCCGGTACGATCCATAGGTCCGACCCCCGAACTCCGGCTACCCCGGGGGGCATTTAGCGTATATACGAAATAAATCTTAGGCGTTGGACGACGGCACCGGAAGTGCGTGGCAAGGATCACAGGATCCCGCTACCCGGGTCCCTGCGCTTAGAGAAAAAAAATTACTAGTTGAATTGTGTACGTAATGTGGGTAAAAAGAATCATAGCACCAGATCTGATCCATCGATTGGGCATTACTTTACAGTAGACAAAGACAACAACTACAAGAACTACACTGCATTGAAGCCATCTCATGCGATCCAAACACACACCATACACACACACACACACACACACACACACATGAATTTCAAATCCAAATCAATAACCAATTAGCACGAATTATACAATAATTTTTGTAATTGATTAGCCGCTGCCACACAGACAGAAAACATTAACAACAAAAAGATCAGTCGAAACGAATAGCTCCGCTGCAGCGTGCGCTACCAATTATTTTTTACAAAAACCAAAAAACTATTTAAAATATGTAAAAAAAGAAAAAATACAAAACACAAAAGCGAAAAACAAAATGAAAGAGATTTTTAAACACCGAAAAACCGAAATTGGAGACACGAAATTCTTTTTAGGCCAAAAATGAAATTACATAATTGTGTGCCAGGACAAAAGTGACAAAAAAAAAAAGAAAACCAAAAACCAAAAATAAACATAAAGATATAAAAACCAAAAATGAAACGTTAAAATGTGTTGTATTTGATATCATGCAAGCGAGCACAGAAACCAGAAACAATGGCGAAAAAGTAAAGTAATAATATAAATGAAATTCATAGCGTCAAGTCAAATTTAATTTAATTAAATGAAAACATAGATTAATTTAAAGGAAAGCCACGAAACACACACATACACACACAGCTAGCAAACAGGACAAAACAAACAACAACCAGAAAAAAAATGTCTCCGTAAAACTGAAAATCCCATAGAATTTCCCGAATGAAAATGTTTGCCTAGTGAAAAAATCGAAATTAACAATAACACAAGCCCACTCCCCTTCCAGATAGCAGAGTAATTTAGTGAAAACTGATAAAAACAAATAAACAGAAACGTAAACTCTAAAATCCCACATGAGACAGCTAAAAACTTTAAAACCAAAAACCAAAAACTAAACTGAAATCTTCTGTACTTGTTATTTAAAACCAAACAAAAATACAAACTTAAGAGAAAAAATAAAAAAGAAAACATAGAAAATCAACAAATTATAAAAAAACGATAAAAATCCAAAAATAGAACACGGAAAAACGAAATTTCATAGTCCTTAAGCTAAAATCTAAAAAAAAAGAAAAACAAAAAAACAAAAAACGAAAAGAAAGTAAATTCCCCCAGCCAAAACTATCTAAAGTAATGAAAATGATTTTCAAAGACGAGAGGACGATGATGGAAATAGTAATACTATGTAATAATAATGGCAACTGGCATAATTATGGTAATTGTAAAATAATTAAACAATGACGTAAACGTAATACCAAAAAACGGAAAAAAATCGAAAATAATAAAAAATAAATTGTTGTTATTGAATGTATTTGTATAGAAAAATTATTATGATTATGACGATGAATAATAAATGATTACAAAAATAATAATTATTGTTCAAACCGAAAAAGCAAACCAAAAAAAAAAAAAAACAAACAAAAAACAAAAACAAAACAAATATATATATATACGAGAAAATGCCTTTGACTTCCTGACTGACTTGGGATGGCAAAGGATCCCCGAACTCCCGTCCGCCGATGACACGTGCCAAGTCCCATGGGTTTGGTCCTCCAACAAAGCTGCTTTACGGATGCTGCGAAAGAAAAATTGGGGAAAAATTGAGGGGGGAAAACATCTAGCAAACAAAATAATTAAGAACTCCCAGGGGAAAACAAGGGACAGGCTAGGGAATACAGCATATGAAAAGCCTGGAAATAACAATATAATTAACCATAAATTCATTAAGTTGTAGTTGGTTTTCTCGTCTGACAAAGCTGGTTTAATTATGTGGTCGATTTTCTTTTAACGGAAGGCATTATTTTCCTACTGAATGTCATAGTTCTAGAACTATTTTGCAGACTTAGGGAACTAAAGAACTTAGGGATCTAAAGAAAAGTCAAACAGTATGATTTAATACAAGAAATGAAAAAGGAAAAACTTATTTATTTGTCAACTCCCTTATCTAGCTGCTTGTCGAGGTGATTTGAAATTTATAAAAGATCTTTAAGAACTTCATATTCTTCAATGTTTTTCATAATTTTTAAATATTCGGTATCAGTTCTGCCCCTTTGTTTCAATAAAACTCAATGTAGAGTTTGCTCTGAGCTAAATTCAATTAAATAATATTGCCAGAGCTCCAGCCAATATAATTATGCACACCAGGGGAGTTCTCGCGGAAAATCTTGATTTCCCCGATGCGGGAAACCGGCAAAGTGCCTGCAATCAAACCCGTGGAAAACTAGCAAGCAGAGCCCCCTCTGGCATGTGTGTGCGTGTGTATGGAAATCTCGCACGCACTTGCCTTTAAAGTGCTTTCCCCTGGCTTGACTTTATTCGGAGCGGGCTCAGCGACGACATTGTATTATATAACTTTCACTTTTCGAGCAGGTGCTTAGCGGCAGTAACAGCGCCAAAAACATCCGCAGCCACCACAACAACGGCACAACACACACTCTAATTACGCGCAGCCAAAAGGAAAACGAGGCGAAAAGGACGAAAGGACGAACGGCTGGCGGGATTGAGGCTCTGACGAAGGCAATCGGGATGCCGCCATTGCCGAAGCTGCTGCTGCTGCTGCTGCTGGCTCCTCCATCGTCGGGTCGGCTTGGCCAGGTTTCTGGGCTTCAGATACGTTTCGGCTGGCGAAAGGGAAAGTTCGAGCTGCGGATGCGGGACCCGGAAAATCTACAATCCGTCATAGAAATCCGGTGATTTTTTTATTCGCGTGCGTGTCAGTGGCAGACGCACTTCTTGGCGGCCGGGGTTCCTGTTTTTGTTTTCCGTGTCCATTCAGTGTGTGTGTGTGTGTGTGTGTGGTGGCTAAATATTTGCAGAGCGTTAACGAGTTGTGCGACACAACGGTCAACTTGTGTTTGTGTTCAGGTGCTTTTTGTGGCTATTTTTACATACTTTTTGGCGCCATCACAATGGAAACTTTAATTGCAAATGCGTCCAAATCGTTTTATTTTGGCATGCAAAACTTTATGCGAATTGACAGCGACACGGATTCGTACTCAGGTCGTGAATGCCTAAAAAGGTCAATGCTAATTGAGACTGGCATAGCAAATGAGTTGGAAATTTCCCCAAAAACAAAATAAAAAAATGTAGTTTGAAACTCAATTATAGGGAATAGTTTGAAACGTAATTGCTGGGAGCTGGATTTGGGAGAACCAAATGTTCGGCAAACTTTTTAAATTATAGTTGACATGCAGCCGGATTAAGTTGTAAATTAATAAGGATGGTTAAGGTTAAAGAGTGTTTAAATATATTACTGGTTTTGTCAGAGAAAAGTTGGTAATTTGTTGGATAAGGTATTAGAAATCTCGATTCATTTAGGATTAAATTATATAAATGTTGAAGCAAAGTTTTAGTTATTCTTAAACAGTTTTTAATAGGAATCATTGCTTACTTTAAGCAAAGTTTTAATGGTTTAAAAACAAAAACAATAAATTTATTGTTCTTTTTGGGCATATTTTTTAATCTAAAAATGCACAGTGATTGCTAGAGCAGCATTGTACATATAAATATTATTTAATGCTGATTCTTAATGCTCTTCTTAGAAAAAAAAAACAGTAAGGAAGCTAATTTCCGGTAAGACAAAGTTCGTATTAACCTTGCCACTTGAATCCTAAATCGATCATAACTTTGCCAAAAATTCTTTAATTTCAATTTGGAAACCTGCTTTATGCTAATTTTTATTAGGTTAACAAATCTACATACTTAATTTAACATTTTACAAAATTCAAATTTTTATAAATTTTTAAAAATTTTAACGATGTAACCCCTTTGCTTTTTTTCAAAAAATTGACAATTTTTGAACATTGTTTTTTTCTTTCGGAGATGACTAGAAAGATTCGCCTGTTGATGCTGATCAAGAATATATATAATTTATAGGGTCGGAAATGACTCTTTCACTTAGTTTGAGGCTTCTGAATAAAATTATAATACTCCTCAAGGATATAAATATTACGGAAAAATATATATGTTTTATCTATACTAATCATAGTTTCCTAATAAAACCCAAAGCAATATTCGTTACAATTTCAATTATATTCCAAAAAACTTGCAAACTATCTTAACCAAGTGATAAATTTGCGTTCCTTAGTGACTTGTTTTGTACAAATGACTGCTGTCAGTCTTGAATCTTTGCCTTATTTAAATATTTATTGAGGACCCCCTCCCCCCTCCCCGTTCAAATAGCGTATTATGTGTGGAGAATGAGGCAAGTGAAACGCGCATTGCCAGGTCAGTGTCAGGCGGCACATCACCTGCTCGTCATCGGCCTCCTCCTCGTCGGCGGCGCATTAATAATTCAAAGCGAGCAGCTCGGCGAGGCGAAAGCTCAGCGGGGACACGAACCGGCGCTCGGCGAGGTGAATTTGCCAGAGCGGGACAACGGTGCGTATGACTTTCTCAACTCCTTTATAGATTCTTCAAGAGCGGCGGCGCAAATGTCTTTTTTCACAGGAAACGGAAATGAAACTTTAAACAGCAATTTCAGCGATGCGCAGAGCCATCGCAAGCCACGCAGCGTCTTCCATGTTCGCTGGAATCCCAACGAAAAGTTCATTGTGGAAAGTCGCGAGAATCCGGCCATAAATTCCTCTAAATTGGCTCCACATCCCCGGCTGAAGGTATCCAAGAACACCAAGCTGACACTGAGCCCAAAGCTGTATCTCTGCCATGACAAGCACTCGGAGCTGTGTCACAACAAAACCCAGCAGTTCCGGCAGCGCATTGTCCAGACCTTCGAGAAGGCCATGATTGAGTCCGTCAACGAATCGCAGGCGAATCACTATAATGTGGACTATAAGCCGGTATTCGGGGATAGTTTCGAGGAGCAGTACTATCCCTCCACTTGTTTGGTGATGGAGGCAGGCGTGCGAGTCCTGCGAAGGAAGGATGCTCCTTTTAATAAGCTGCCCTTTGGGAGGCTCTTCCCACGCCAGAAACTCTTTCGCAATATCAAGGATATCAAAACCTGTGCGATTGTCTCAAGTGCAGGATCACTGGCAGGTTCTAAATTGGGTCGATTTATAGGTAAAAATACTAAGAGGACTTAAATATTAAAGATTACTTAATGTAAATATTTGATATTAAAAGTTTTAGTGGAAAGTAGTTTCAATCTTTGAAAACTTGAACGAAAATCTTCAGTTTCATGTCATAATACTACATGTTAAAATCACACAAAACCCTCCAATTACACGTCTTTATTAAGGACATCCATGAAACCCATTTTGCTTTATTTATTTGTAAATTAGTAAAATGCAATCGAGGCAGCAAGACTGCAATTCTGCAGCCTGCATGCACAATTAGTCGGAAGAAACCCAGCTCATGAACAATTTGATTTACTCGTGTACTCTAATTCCGTTTATTTATTATAAACTTTTCTGCTTTTAATTTTTCTGTGCCCTGCTCCCAGACACGCATGACATTGTGATGAGATTCAATCACGCGCCAACGCAAGGACACGAGGTGGATGTTGGCAGCAAAACCACAATTCGTGTGGTGAATTCGCAAGTAGATTTTAGCACGCAGTTCCGCACTTTCGAAATGCATTTACTAAGCACTGCAGTTTTTAGGTGGTGACCAAGCCCGAGTTTGACTTCACCCATGCCCCCATCTTCCGGAATGTGACCATTGCCGCCTGGGATCCGGGCAAGTATAATGGAACCCTGGAGGATTGGCTGACCAGTGCGGATTACGATCTGTTTACCAACTATGAGATATACAGGCGTCGTTATCCCAAGTCAAGGGCCTTCCTGATCGATCCTCATTCCGTGTGGCGACTCTGGCAGAGTCTGCAAATGTTTGCCGGAAATAAGCCAATCAGCCGCAATCCTCCCAGTTCGGGTTTTATAGGTGAGATATCCTTTGATTGTTTAGGGATATAAACGTATTCTTTTGCCTGCTGTTTCAGGATTGGCTTTGCTCCTGCCGCACTGTCCGCAGGTGGACTTTGTGGAGTATGTTCCATCCACACGGCTCAATGGACGCTGTCACTACTACAGCAAAGAGGTAAAACATTTATCCATCTCTCCTTGTCACTTTATATACCAGTGGTGGCATTGATCTGATTTATTCCACAGATGAATTCCGCCTGCACCTTTGGGTCCTGGCATCCACTGGCCGCCGAGAAGCTGATGGCTTTGGACATGAACATGGCGGAGGACGATGACATATCTGTGTTTCAGTTTGGCATTCTGAGGATACGCCGGCCGGACAAACTCCTCTGCGGCTTCAACTTCTTTGGCTACTGAGGAGAAGGAACTGGAGCTGGAGCTGGAGCTGGAGGCAAAGGAAGTACTTCGCAGGCGGAAGTGACAATCCAGGTGCATTTAATCAAGCGGTTTTCATCGAGTGCAATAAACAATTCAGCTTTGCAATGAATATTAACTGAAGTGTTTGCCCGGGGGCTCCTCTTGCGTAGGAGGAGGAGGCAGTCTCCCAAGTGGCATCTTGATTGCTTTTCTTGGCTGCTGACGAGAAGACAAAAGACGAAACAGAACAGAAACAGAAATTATGACTGGCTGCGCGGATTCATGTTTTCCTTTGCCATTAAATGCCATAACTGTTTGTCTACACGGGCGACCTGAGTGCAATAAGTATTATTATTATTATTCCAGTCCCAAGGATTCCTGCCAGAGTGGGTGTGGGAGTGGGCGTGGGCGAGGTGAGGAAGGAAAGTACTCATTAATACGTGATGCGGCACAACGGACGTGCAGCGACTCCAAAGTGAAGAGACAAACACAGCAGCGGAGAGTCGGAATTATGATGGCAATTTTTTCGTTGTTGCTGTTGCTGGCTTAAACGCTGCGTATACGCAATTAAATAATATATAGCCAAAATAAATATCGAGATTCCATTGAACCAGGAAAAGGACACGAATCGATGCGAAACGAAATGAAAGTTATGACCCAAGGGCACTCGCCCAGCATCACAAAGGAAAGCCAAAACCGAAAGGCAATTTAAAGTTTTCAGATAAACACGATATATTCCAGCAAGTTGCTTGAACTCCTTCATTATTCCACTTGTCGGGAGTTTGCTCCTTTGCATTTCAAAGCCCGGAAAGTTCACCTAACTCGGGTTCACAAAAACGGGTAAAAACAAAAACAAAAGAGTTGCTGCTGCTGCATTTGGAATATTTTGTTGAATTTTTACATTTCAGATTTTTATTTGACAAATGCAAATAGCCAGACAATTCACGTGTTTATGTTTGCCATTGGGCAATTCTTTGTTTTGGTAATTGGACAGCACCTGGGCTTGCACTGGCCATTGGACACTGGGACCCTGGGCATTTTGGTCAACAATATTTTGACATTTTACAAGCATTTTTTTCTGCTGTATTTATTTGTTATTTTTGTGGATTTCTGCGGCTAAAGCTCTCTGCGCAGGCGCGGTTGTTGCCCTCGTGTGAACGTGTTCGCCATGCTGATAAATCAACAAAACAAAATTATTAATTTTATAGCGAAAAATCGTAAAGTAACTGCTGAGCGTGTGCAGGTCTTCTCTATGGTAATATCGCTTCGATTATGGGTGGATATTTTAGGGTACCTGAAGTAATGGGAGCTAGCTTTAATAGTTTATAAAATATTGGAATTTTTTAAACTTGATATTCTATTTAAAACATATAGATATAGCCATATATCTTGATTTGTTTTATTCTTTTAAATTGTATTATAATTTCATTCAGAAGCTTAAAACACAGTGAAGGAATCGTTTCCGACCCAATAAATCATATATATTCTTGATCAGCATCGAAAACTGAGTTGATCTTGGCATGTTAGAGCAAAAAAAATGTTGACCATTTTTTGTCAATTTTATAAGGGCAATTTTATTGGCAAAAAAATTAATTTTTTAAATCTTGGTATTTTAGATGCAGATTTATTAAGCTATCATAAACTAGCATAGAACAGCTTTCCGAATTGAAATTGGTGCTTTTTTGCCCTAGTTATGATATTTTTTAACTTTAATTTTGCGACAAAAATTAGCATTAAAAATATTGATTTTAGTTCCTATAAAGCAAATATTCTACAACTTCTTGGTGGTATATATTTCAAATTACACTTCAAATCTTTATTATTTAATAACAATATTTATTAACCTTTTAATAACTTTCAAAGAAAACCTTTCAGAATTGAAATTAGTTCATTGTTGTCTAAGCTATGATCAATTTAAATGCAGTCCGAAAGTATGTATATGAAATTCGGCTGTCCAACGTTAGCTTCCTTTCTTATTTATTAAGTCAAATATTAGTCGGAAGAATTACAAATTAAGCTTTATAATTAAAATTAGTACAGGAATCCAAACATTTAAGCACAGTGCACAGCCTTGAGCTCGATTCCAAACAGCAGCAGCTATTCGAAAGCATTTATATCTTTCGTTCTAATAGTGTCATATTCAGTATATATCCCAGAACTTAAACCCAGGGGAGAGGCACTCCTCTTCCCCTCTTTGGATTCGCCCTAGTTGGGATGCAGCTTCTACAGATACATACATATGTAGCATGCAAATTAGAAATGTCGCTTTTTTATTGGATTTTTATCGACTGGTGAATGACAGACAGCCCCGGCCAGCCGAGAGGGTCAGCAGTGACATGGACATGGACATCTGTTTTGAGAATCGGCATCGGAATCGGAATAGCTTGTCGGCGTGACACTCCTCCATCAGAAGTTGCTCCCCTGAAACGACTTGCAGTCCAATGTTTGTGCTAATTGAAATCAAATGCCAGTGTCTAGTAGGGATGATCCATCCGCAGAGGGAGCAGGCACAAGATGATGATGATGACTCAGCTGGCAAAGGCACTTGAGTGAAAATAAACCAACACATAATAATATTTCGGTTTTCTTCAATCGGTTTTATTCATTTGCATTGCACGTTTGCTTAGCCTCAGCTGGCTGTGGTCTGGCCTGGTGCTTTTGTTTTTATTAAATTGTATTTTCGGGTTGATAGCGTTACTCAAGAGATTTCCAAGAACACCCGGGGATAGTCAGGCAGGCGAAATATGAACCATTGCATTGTCAAAGGGTTAACCCATATGCCATATGGATCCTATGGGGTGATGTCTCATACAGGGCGTGTCCCACGACCACAACACGTACTGTACTAAACTGTGCAGTCTGTTTCGGCCAAGATCCAGACAAAAGATGGCCTGCAAGGAGTCAAGGTCGACGGACAACTTTATTTATCATTCATTAAACTCAACGGGACAAGTAAGCCTGTTTATTTGCGAGGTGCGTCGGATTCTTGCTAATAAATTGTCCACATTTCTGTAAATATCAATAATATAGCTTACTAGTAAATAGTAAAGACAACAAAGAAACCGTTACAAACATATAAGGGATCGTTAAAAAATGATTAATTGTATTAAGGAGTAAAACAAGCTCACATAGTGACCTAAAAATCATTTATAAAAGAATAGATTACTTTCAAACGTTTATAAAGATAAATATTATATAAATAATTATAATATATTGTTCCTGTATAGATATTTAAATGCATATTAAATTTTATTAAAAAAATTAACATAAAAATATATATCTTTCTAATGTAATAAATTCCGCATTTAATGCAAATAATTTGAACAAAGCTTGCCAGCTTGAAGGATTTCTTTTTACCAAACCCCCCGAATAAGGAGCGGCTCCCATCAATCAGCAGACTTAATCAAACAATCACTCCTCCTCAATCAGACTTCCTGCTTGGCATTGAATTATTCTTTTGTATATCTAAAATCCTTAGTTTATTTGTTTTGTGCGACAGACATTTCAAAGTATTTAATTCCGAGACAAAAGCAGACATTACAGCCGCTCTTCTTGATTTTTTCTTTAATTTTTTAAGGAAGAGAGCGAGAGGACGACATTCCGGCACGTTCGAGTGCGTATAAATCAAAATATAAGAACAATATAAAGCGAAATTTAGCATCGCAACGCTGAGCGAAACCAAAAACAGAATGAATCGTGCCAGAGGACGGCGTGCATTTCAAATGATTCAACTCTTTGAGTCTTGGACTTCAGGCGAAGATATCGCATTAAATGAAGATATAGGTTTCCCGATCAAAGGGACTATCAAGTGAGATGAGTCATTAAATAATGAATTAAGTTGGGATTAAAGAAACACAATAAGCTTGATAAGAGTTTAAGGGGTTGTGATTAAAATAAAGATATAGAAACAATATGAACTTGAACTGATTCAGACCTCAGAGCCCCGATGCGTAAGTCTCCTGTGACATATCTTAGAAGCTTTCTTCGAGCATAAAGGGATAAATGGAGATATCGGCACCACTTTTCCCAGTACATTTCAAACTGACTCACTATATTATAGAATACTAAGTGACGTACGAGATTGGAACCCGATGAACCCGATCTGCGATGCGTAAGTCTCCCGTTATGCCAACTGAACGAGGAAGATCCCAGGGTATCGCAAACACTCGAATTGGAGGGGGTGATGACAGGGAAGGACGTTGCTGTGATGACTGTTGCCTCCAATCGGAACGGAGGCAGTGCGAATCCGATCGGAACTTAACGAAACGGATCGCCTTGCTTCCCGGCCATATAAAAGAATCTAAGCCGAGAAAGCCAAGCTTCAGTCTAGCTCAATAAACGCACAACGAACTTGCAGTTACGGCAGCTTGCTGCAGCTAGGCAGATCTTAATTTGAAAAACAAAAAAAACACAAAATTAAAACGCAATCGGAATAAGTTTAGGCAAATTAATGAGAGTCGCCTAGAGCTTTCCATCGCGAGTGAATGAGAGAAAGCTGCGCCTTTGCGGTGAATCATCTAACAGTCGTTGTAGCAGCGTACTAACTGCTAGCTCACTAACTGGGCTATAACCAACAGCCGGCTAACAGTGCTAGCCTGAGGTGAGTCCCCGGAGCTTTGGCGTTTGCTCCTGTTGCTTTGTAATCACATTGCACAGGATACATGAGGAGGGCGAAGTCCGGAGGTTTGGCTATATTTTCAACCACCAAAAACGAGGACTATCGGTGTAAGAGTGTGTGTTTTTTTATGGATGTTCGCGTGACTCGTAAAGCAGCTACCATTAGACTCACACACACACACCCAGGGAGCGGTGGCTAGGTGGGAGGGTGGCACAAAAGACGACGACGACGACAAAGGCAGAAAAAAACAGAAAACCAGAAAGCAAAAAGCCCCAGACGAGTCGCATTCGGAACCTGCTGGGAATCGGTCGCTATCGCAGCTCTACTCGTCATTATTCGTTCTTAACTGAATAATAGTAGAAATGCCAATAACCTGAAACAGGGATATACCCTTAAAGTATTTATCGGTATCCATTTTAGTGAAAGAGTACCGGAGTCTCGAGTGACCGTGAGTGCCGAGTGATGACTGTGAGTGAGAAAGCCCCACTATGAGTGATATGAGTAGTGTCTGAGTTCGCGGTGTCTCTTATCTAAGAACTAAGATCTAATCGCAATCGGTCGAAAGATAATGCCTGATAAAGTTTGAAAACAAAAAGCGGCAAGGAACTTTAAGTAAAACTGAGACGATTTTTTGTGCAATATTTGCTGGAGGAACACACACGAGTGTGACCCAACTGCCCTGATTATTATTATAACACAAATTGGTTCATGCAAATTTCATAACGAAAGTTTTTCGTTTTCTGGATGGTAAGTGAGTCATCTTGGGGAAGATCCACTGGGAGACTAAGGGGACATTTGACATTGCCTAAACAATCATCACGTAGAGCGGCTTTTGTAGAACCCAATTCATAGGCCAGACAAACATGAATACGTATAATTATAGATCCAACTGGCAGATACTTCATATACGTATACATATATTGGCTTGCCAAACGACTATCAAAGCCCGACCGTGACGTGATTGAGTTTTTGAAAAATAGTTATTCAGTTTTTCGCACTCAAAGTCAGCCAGTGTACAAATGATATACTGACTGCCTGGCATACTATATTCATATACAATTAGCATTATCTGCTGCCCCATCTATATGTCAATTATATATATGTTATATATGGGTTCTGCTTGGATCGCCGCAGTTCAAAGGCAAAAGTCAATGCAAAATCGCTTGTTTTCAAGTTTTTGGCCTGGAAAAGTTCACTCCCCTTTGCCGGCAAAAGCCAACAAACTTTTCACTTACTTCGATGGTGAATGCCAAAGGAGGGGAAAAATGGTCTAAAAATACCATAAATAGTTGTCATTAAAGGCAGAAGAAGCTCATAAATATTTCATTGTTCCAACTGCATCGCAGATCACAGCGGGGCAACCTCGACGACAAGTCGACTTGTCTTCCATTGCCATAACAGAAGAAGACTTTATATTATATACAATATATATATCCAGGAGAGGGGACCAGCTCCACTTGGTCCATGAATAAATGGCTTTGACTTTTATACTGCAGCCTCCGCTTTTGTTCTGTCAGAGACTTAGGGATTGTTGTCGTTAAGGGAAAACATCTCTCTCTCTCTCTCTCTCTATCTCTCTGGTTACCATTATCTGGACACGTTGGTGTCCACATTTTTTTAACTGAATCTTCAGCTCGTGGCTGTAAACAATTGTTTTTGCTAGCGATTACTAGATCTGTTTGCTCCGAGGTGGCAATTTACTTCACGTGGCCACAGCCACTGCAGGCGGCTGACTCAGCCCAAAATTGCACTCAATTGACGTTAATGGAATGGAACAGCCGCACATTAAGATATATCATTGATTCCCAGAAGGAGATAGACTCGAAGATGAATAGCTTATTAGCACAGATTCTCCCGCTGAAAACGTCAGAGAAATCTGATTGAGATCTGGGGATAGCCAGTGAGTTTTATGGGTTATTGGTTAATGAAAATCCCATGGGATTATTATGCTTTATTGTATTATATTAATATTAAATTTGCATGTTTTACTATATTTCTTATAGTCTTATAATATAAACTAGACCGTTTTCTTGTAATTCAAGGCTGTATCTTTCTAGAAATATATATAATCTAATCTCTTGGCTGTTACAACATTACAGACTGCGAAATATAGAAATATATATAATTATAAATTATTTATAGAAACGCTTAAGCACTAGTACGTGCCCTAGAATAGAGAAAAGTTAAGCCCTTTGAAGAAATTCTATTAAATATTAATGATTAGGAGACTACTTAAATTTGAAAAGTATATATTTCCAAAGAACAATAATAAAATACAACTTTTCCAGTTAACTCTAAAACGGTTGATAATAATTAATAGTGCAATAATTTAAAAATATAATTTTAAATGTTAATACTCTTACAGGGTAATAAAATTTTAGTCAGAAGCTTCTAACACAGTGAAGGAATCGTTTCCGACCCTATAAATCATATATATTATTGATCAGCATTAACAGCTGAATCGATCTAGCTGTATTTTAAAGAAAATTGTATTTTTCAATTTTTTGAAAATTTTATAAGGGGTCATTAATATTTTCAAAATTTGATAGAAATTTTGATTTTTTAAAATCTTAAATTGAGTATACAGGTTTATTAACCTCATAAAAACTAGCATTGGAAAGCTTTCCGATTTAAAATTAATGCTTTTTTGGCTTAGTTATGAGTTTTTTAAGATTTGATGTGTTTCCAAAATTGTCATATAAAATATTGATAATTATCAATTCAAAGACGATCGTTTTCCGATTCGCAAGGGTATGTTACCTTCTGATACCCAATGTTAGTTTCTGTCTTTGCATAATTTTAAAAACTATTTAGCAAAAGCCAAAGTCTAATAAAATTACTTGACACGAAACGATCTCGTTAGGAGGTGTGCCCCTTATGTTAGTTTTTACACAAGAAATAAAAGGCCCTCATTTATTGGCTTATTTGTTTACGCATTACTCATACGTTCATTGAGAAACCGATTGGCCACGGGAAACCCATACCGCAAGATTCATTCATAAATCGATATGTATGTATATATATATGTATATATTAAGTATTTGTGTGCTGTCAGGGGCAGAGGCGGAAATTCGAGAGGAGACAAAAGCTGTTAACAAAAAGCGGGAGGGACATGCTAAACTTCAAGATAAACTGTCAATAGCCACCGAATTTTGTATCTGTATCTGTGGGCTGTAGCGGCTGCCTCTGCTTGCTGGACCCGACGCCCGACGCATGACACATTTGGATGATTCCAAGAAACCGCATTACTCATACGCCCCCGCGCCCATGAAAGAGTAGAGAGTGAGGGAGCAGGGGAAGAGAGGCCCGGGGAAGGGACAACTTCGATTATTGGCAACAGGTTTCAGCCGCCTCCCCGGCATCGGCATCGTTTGCTGTCTGTTAATGCCGCTAGCAAGCTTTTCCCCTTTTATTTTTTTTCTTTCATTTGGCGAAAAGCTCCAATGCGATCGCTGCCTCAGCTGGCATCGCTGCTGCAGTTGGCTTCGCTGCTGCCGTGGGCAGCGAAGTCGTCGTTGGCTTTCCAGCGATCGCCGAAGATCAGTTGAAATTTGCGCGTTGTGCAGGGCGGATGTGTCCAGTGGCGAGAAACAGAAACAAAGTTCGAGTCAGCCAACAAAATATTATTTACCAATAATCCACCCCCCAAAAGCCCAACCCAAATAATATATAAGAAATAATCGGAGAGATATATAGAGATCAAATCATATCAAAAAGTGAATCGCATTCAGTTTTGAGTTTTTTGTTTTCGAAAAAAGAAAAAAATACGCGGAAACGCGCGGTAAGATGGAAGTGCCAGCGAGCAATTAGTGCAGTTTCTCGTCCAGACATAAAGACACTGAGAGACAAAAGGATAGCCCAATAAATTATAAAACGCGACGATACATCCACAGCGGAATATAAACAACAACAATAACAACGACGACGACAGCCACGGCTAATTAATTAATTTGTAAGTGTTGCAACAAAGACAGAGAAGGGGGCAGGCATAGTTCATTGATCCGAAACTGCATCCCACTCGCATTCACTCGCATTCACTCGCATTCACTCGTTCACTCAATTGGAAGGTCAAGAAGGGCAACTGAAACCCATTAATCAGGCCTAATTCCAGGCAGTCCCCTTCCCAATATGCACTCCACTTTGGAAGTGAACTTGAATCGAAATCGGCTCACAAAATATACATTTCGAAATACGCCCAATTTCAAAAAAAGTTGGTCATATCACTAAGGTCAAGTTCTAGACAAATACAGCTGGACGGACGCCTTGTTTAGTGCAGAGACTCATGTTTATTGGGATTTTCATATACATTTCAAAAGCATAAATACCAATTCCCAACCATATCTTATCGCTCACGGGGCATACGCACACTTGCGTTGTGGGAAAGTCAACTGATAAGGTGAACAATGCCAAAAGGCTATAATAGCAAGTGGAATTTCAGTTAGATTGGGCCACTTTAGGGGGTATTTTTTCTAAATGGCCAAACTGGTTGGCATACAAATTTATTATAATTAGCATCTCTTTAGTGTGTTTCTCTGAATGAGCCTGACTCACCCGGCAAGTCTTCGCAGAATTTCGATTCATATTCCCCGAAAAAAAAACAAAATTAAGTGAATAAGCCAAAAGAAGAGCCGGTTGGAAGTAGAAGCCCTTCTTTATGAACCATAATCGGGTCAATCGACCACACACCCAGAGACATGTTCTACATGTCGTATACGTAACCGCTCCGATTAAAGTATTAGGGCAAAGCCAAAGGAAAACTTTCGCGTTGAATGCAATTTCGCCATCGACCCAAGCACTTCACTCCGCCAAGTCTGGCGAAACTCGCTTTTTATTGATCTAACATGGGACAGCGAAATGCGTCCATTGTTATGACGACCCGGTGTGTGTCCGGATTCCGGGACAGAGCGAGAAGCAGCGGCCCCGCAGAACCCTCAACCCGTCAGGCGGTGTTAACCACACGGCGCTAACCTTAAACTGTCAGCCCGTCGACCTTCAACCCAAACCATTTGCCCAAAATGGTACAAAAACAACAAAAAAGAAGGGAAAATGGAAATTGTTTATGGTATTTGCTTAGCAGAAATTATTGTAATCAGATAACGCCACAGCGATGGTGATAGCCTGTGCGTATATTCATTATATACATATTTGCATGTTCATTTGTCTGGATTTTTAGCAGCTAATTGCCGGACATAAAGCGGCCCCGAAATCCCCCGGCGATTAGTCAGGAACAACAACAAATATACCTAGTATATATATTATATATTTGCAGAAGCGAGTGCCTGCCACTTTGGCGTATACTTGATATGACTTATCGCACTCTTTTTCTGCTGATGTCACATCTGTGCTCCGGGGTATAGTGTATCCATCAGCATAGGTGAAAGATATAGTCGGGGGGATAAACATCACCATAAACCTGAACGTTTACTTAGACAATTCTGGCAGTTGTCTCGTGCCCTAGGTCAACACCACTTCCCCCCACAGACAAATCAACAATAACAACATCCAAAAACTATAAACAAAACTAACTGCTGGGTATTTTTAGCAAATCAAATAACCAAATATACACAGAGGCCCCGACCAAAATCCTTTACGGTTATTGCTGACTTGATATTTACCCGGCGCACAGTCTAAAATTAAATTCTAATTGGAGTCTAAACTTACACTAAAGCCGTTTATGACGTCCGAGCTGGCGTCCAGACCTCAGACCACATGACTTGCTACGCGTACATATATGCACTTATATCTCACCGATCAAAATATCAGCCGCAGGACAGCTGGTTGAAGCGAGGAGAGCTCTCCGTGAATATGAAATTCTCTTTGGGGATTAGCGAGATATGGAGGCAGGTTCTGCAAATATTTGGCCAACGATAAGGGGATATTCTTAGGCCGAGGACTTAATGGCTTCACAAGATGCGAGGAGAAAGCAGCCTGCCGTCAGTTCGTTGTACTTTTCTCAGCAATAAAAATTGTGTTGTTTTTTGCTAGATCTAATATAGTTGGTTGTATATTACAATTAAAGTTATTAGGGTAAAGTTAGTCTACTTATGGCAGGAGCTGTATATATTCTTAGAGCTTGTTACCGGGGGGTTTCGCATATTTAGGGGGTATCCTCAAGGGGCAGCTCCGCTCCCAGGCCACGTTAGACTGTAAGGCTTTGAGGCCTCTAAGTGGACGTACTCGAGTTGTACTATTTTTTACTACGACTTGGATTACAACCGATATCCCCTGACCCCCACACCTGGCCGCAAATCTTGGCCACTTCCGTTTGCCGTTCCACCTGCCACAGAAAATGTGTGCCACATTCAACCTGTTGGTCGGAAAGGAGTGGCAAGAGTGGAAGTTGGACACGATTTCCGTTCGCCCTTTTGCACTTGTACTTGGCCTGGTCTCCGCACTCCGCACTCCGCACTCCGTTCTCCTTTCTCCATTCTCCATTCTATTCCGGACAGTGGCCTGTTCCTGCTGGCTGCTTTATTACTCCGCCCCGGCTTTATGAAATATTAATTGACCTTCTTTCCACCTTTGCCTTGCAGTGATATAAAGTTCAAAGTGCCACAGAGCAAGTGGAACTACATGACAATTACTAAGGGAACTACTACCATCCACAGCAGAAGCAATCACAGCAATCGCAAAACAAGCAACAAAATGACAAACTGCCAAAGTTCAGTGTTCATAGTCGTAGGCACCCTGCTTTCCATTCTGGCAGCGGCACAAGCGGCACCTGTCTCCACCACCACACAGGCCGAGGTGAGTACATAATTAAGTTATTAAATTAAAATTAAAGGTAGATGCATATAAACAACGTAAAAAGAGAAAACATTTAAGTGATTCCCAGTAAATGGCGAAATTAATTCAACTTTTTCGATTCATCTATAATTTATATAAAAGCTTGTAATGCCTCTCGTTCGTTTGTGCATTTCATAAAATGTAAAGCATGCAATCAAATGGAAAAAAATGGGAAATAATAATCACAAGAATTACGAATCACAAACAGAGGAAAATTCTGGAGTTTAAAGTTATTAGTAGGGATGGAATTTAATTGAAAAATCAGTACAATAAATACAATATTTTAAGTAGCTCTTAAAACAGGTAAATAAGATTCTTTATAATTTATAAAAATAATTAAAAGGGAAACCATATATAATACTTGATATTGAATTATAGAATCAAATCGGAAATTTGTGATGAATAAGCTTAAAATGATCAAAGTTTTTGAATCGATATTTACTTCACATTTTTTCTTCAAACCAAAGTTTAAAAATCTTATAACTCAGTCAAAAAGGCATTAATTTCAATTCGGAAAGCAGTTCAATGTTAGTTTTTATCAGGTTAATAAATCTGCATTCTAATTTTAACATTTCAATTTTTAACATTTCAATGTTAGTTTTTATCAGGTTAATAAATCTGCATTCTAATTTTAACATTTTAAAAAATTTCATTTTTTTTTGCCAATATTTGACAATTTTAATGATGTAACCCCTTTGAAAAAATTGAAAAATTTTCAAAAATTTGTTTTTAACCGGACAAAGCCAGATCGATGAAGCTTTCGATTCTGATCAAGAATATATATGATTTATAGGGTCGGAAATGATTTCTTCACAGTTTTTGAAGCTTCTGATTGAAATTAAATGTTAATTCACTTTGCAATATGAACTATAATTTATAATTTCATGACATTGCTGTTTGCTTTTTAAATTTTATATAACAACTTTGAATACCTTGTTTTCATGAATTTTACAAAACGTAAAGGTAGAGTAATCAGTAATCAAAAAAGTAATAGACTCATTATAAAAACGAAATAGTAATGGAAATCTCTCAAAAGATCAATCTTTGAAATGTATATGCTTTTATGGCAAAGTTTTTCAAGATAAATGTAGTAATAATTCACTGAAATTTTTCTCCGAGTGCCTTAGCACAATAACACTGACCAGGAAAGAAATCGAAATGGAGATGAATCATAATCGGACTCCGAATGATTGATAAGTGGAGGGAAGGAGCGGGTTTGTTGCACTTGAGGTGACAGTTAAAATGGTATGAGATAACCGCTTTGTCGCTGCCTCTCATTCTCTCCATATAATATATATAGTATATTCCATATAGTAGCCAGTCTGCAGCTTTACTTCCGATTTGCATGACAAACGTGCCAGGCGCTCAGCACTCCGAGTTGGTTGCATTCGCAAATTATACTTAATTTAACACTAAACTGAGCAGTGTATATCGGTGGATATATACCACATATATACACATATATTTTGTATGCAACAGGCTCACGCGCATTGCATGTCAACGGAAATTTTTTTGTATTCCACACACACTCGCACACTCACTAGGTTTTGGCCGGCTCAGAGGCTCTGGCCTTAGCCTTAGTCGGATGGCTCCGAAAAGTGCATGCACACGGCTCGCCGGCTAATTGCAGTCTATCGTCCGACTATCCAGTTATCGTTATCGCTATCGCTCGTGACATTGGTCAGCGGAAAGCGTGGCTTTCCACAAGGAAAACTCGCACGCCATTGACATGCCAACGAATCGATTCGAATGCACTCCCTATATTAATATTTACAAATGTAGAAACGGTGTGGGGGAAAAAGGCAATTTAAATAAAATCACTGATAAGCTTGCTTCATTAAGTATATTTTCTTTTAATTAACACTAATTGAATATATGTGGAAATTCATTTTCTTAAACGTATGATTCATAAATTCACAGCTTTGTGGAAATATCAAAGTTCTTAGATGACTTTAGAGACGCTTATCTTCAGGCATTAAAACTGAATTTAACAATAAAATGTAGACAAAACCACTTGATAAGCATTGCAATTAAGTGAAATTTGAGAGTCATTAAATCTTTTTATTATTAAACCAACACCTGGTAGATTTTATTAGGTTCCCTTCTGATATGAAATGAGGTTTCGTTAAGCATAAAGACCAGTAAAAGTTGACAGAACCTGTGAGAATTCAACAAAAACATTATAATTTACTTAAGACCACTTAAAGCCATCCATCACCTGACTTATACATGCTCAATATAGTGGGAAAGCCCAGCAGGAGACACCTTTAACTTATCTAGCAAATGCATTAAGTATACTTTAACAAATAATAAATTTACAGAGCCACCAAATATTGTGATAATAATAGTCACATAAATTAACCCTTTCCGATACCTGCCTCCCTAAGTAACTTGTTTTCCACGCTTACAATTTATAAATATTAATCTCTGGTTAATTGCTTGTCATGATCACTGTTTAGCCCAATGCAATTATCATTTACAACAATTGAGGGAGCTGCAGCACGTTTGCACCTTTAGAAACTCTACCTGAAGCTAATCACGTTTTTTGTTTAGCCAGAAACTTGCATAAATTAATCGTGGAAGCAATTTTATGGCCAAAGCAAAGCCATTTACAATTTACAGAGCCTAGAACTTCCTGATTGGCCATTTGCGATCAACTCTCCCGATCGGGCGATATGTAGCAGGTGATATATACACTCGATCCGAATCGAATCGAAGTGAATTCTGGGACTCAGCACGCATGAGCGCGTGCTTAACATTGCTTTGGCTTTTATTTAGGTTTTATTTATGTTTTACGTAATAGCGAGACCTGCCCGGCTAATTGGTATGTTGGTTGTGTCGCCAATAACTTGGCTCGTTGTCGCTGGCCAAAAGCAGCTAAGGCGGCGACAGACGACGTTGACGTGTTTGCCTCCAATGCCAGGCTCTTTGTTCTCCCCGGATTCAGAACTCTTTCCCCTCCATAAATCTCCCACCAAGAGAATGCAAATCGTGCAGACCACCGCCGATGATTCGAGGAAGTCGTGATGCGTTAAATCTCTCTATAAATCTCTCACAAATCTCTCCCCGATCAAATTGCATTCGCTTAAACACAACGATTAATAACAGCCACTGATTCGATCTGGACCAAAGAGATACGAACAGGAATAAGTAGACAAAACTACTGCTCAGTGGCTGTAAAGTGAGTCATTCGTAAGTAGCTCAACCCGCACATAATGGCGCTGTCAAGAGGTTAATTACTCTCACCCATGAATGAAATTGAAATGAGCTCAGGCATTCAGGCATTCGTCATCGTGCGCAAAAAACAAGCTCAAAAACTCCAGAGAAAAAGTTACTCCAGGCTAATTATAGCAACAGAAATATGGGGGAAACTCGAGAGAACACCTTTCCCCTTCCGTTGGCCAAGTTAACTAATCAATAGACGCCTGAATTTTGTTTGCTTTTTGCCAGGTTCTTTTTTTTTGATGGATTCGCCTATGAATTAGTTGCGTGCGACCTTCGCGAGGTGCCAAACAAAATGCACAAACAAAAGGATAACCAAACGCGGCTGCAACGGCAGCCTTGCCACTTTGGCAAACAATTGATAGCTTTCCTTTTCCTTTTTTAGGACTCCCTAAGGTCATCTATATGGAATGGTTTAGCATTTCACGCGTCTTGCCATAAACAACAAGCCTGAAAAGGCATCGGAATGGCAGCAGCAATAAAATCCTTTTTTTCTTTCTTTGCATGAATAGCGCTTTTTATTGTCCGGTTATCTTAGCATCTTGACGCTTATTTATCGCCATGTGAATTAGCCACTTGCACTTGTTGGAAAAAAACTGAAAACTGAAACTAAAACGAAAAAAAAAGTGGCAACAAGACAGGGACAGACACACCTCTTTGGGGGTGAAAATGTCAAATATTTTGTGGGAGTTTCCTATGCTAAGCAGTCGCTTTTAAGTAAATGTCAAGGAATTTACCGGCGGAAAATAGTTTTCCTACTATTGAGAGCTCTGTTAGGGGTGCCTTAAAGTATTAGTTTTAAACTATTCTTTGGAAGCCATTTTAATTAGTAAGCTGCACTCTGTGAACAAGCTTTTAAAAGCCAAATACACTCGCTTTATAACCCAATTTCGGATGCAGATATCTAACCGAAATTCTGTGCAATTAAAAGCATTTCTTTCCCTCTGTCTCTGGGGGATCCTGAATTGAATTGAAATCGTTATACAACTTTTAAGCTGCATTTAAGACAGAGCAGTTGGCCCAGTTTCTGTCTCTGTTTTTGCCTTTGGTCTGAGCTTCGGCTTTGGTTTTTGGTTTTAAGTTGTCAGTTTTCTTTTTTATATTTCAATCTCAATCCAGAAACTCAGTTTATAAGAAGTGCCGCCAAATGGGGCGCCTGCGCTTCGATAAATGATGTAATCGCCGGGTTATAAAAACATTAAAACAAGTTAAGCCTGTTTGTTTAATGGCCAGCGGGATTGGAAAACTCGAAATGCAATCGCAATTTCGCTGGGAAAATCGCCAGCGGCACAAGGGAAAACCTCCTACGCTATTTGCCTTTAATTGTCGCCGACACTTTCCTTTATGAACGTGCCACGCAAATATTTGTGCAACTAGGTCTAGGTTTGTTTGCACCAAAAATCGAGCGGGGGAGGCGAGAGCGGGAAATGCAGGGGAAAACCCTCGCCCGCGGCGGTGGGTGAAAGTCAACGACCTGGCTGACCCACATTCCAAGCGTAAACTAACCACGCACCCCCGAAATACGGAATAAGCAATACGGAATAAGGAAAACGCAGAACGAAGCACGGACGTGGAAGCCAAGAGTTTTCCGTACTCACTCCAACTGCTGCTGGCTGGGCAATAATTTTCCCATCAATTTCAACCGGGCACGTTTGTCGGCAAATGTATATAAATGTATGTATATACGAAAAGTGTACACAAAACGATACTTGTTTATAATTTATGCATGTCCTGTTCTTGTTTCTCGACCGGAAATAAACGAGGCGGAGTACGCCTTTCAATTTAAATGGGAAAGTTCAATGACTTCCAGGAGCAATAGGAGCCGAAGCAATTTTCCTCAATTTTTGCACCAGTGCCATTTCCCCCTTCTTGAAATCAAATCAAGTCGGGCGCAACTGGCAACTTTTCACCTGTGCACCTGTGCAAATTGTGTTAAATATTTGAAGGTTGCAAGACAGCGATTGTAGCATACTTTCCAGAGTCCACAAACACACCTGCACATGTCCCACGTTGGGTTGGAAAAGCCCTGCGGACCACTTCCTGCAAGTTCAACTCCTTTTGGCCAAGTAAACCAGGCAAGCAGGTCAGCCAAGCGCTAACGAACTAGATATTTTTTCACACAAACTCGTAGATACTAAGTTACACGTAAAGATATTAATGTTCCTAAAGGGTAATTGTAAAGGATAATGGTTCTTAAGAAGAATATTTCTAGCAGTGTTGATCCTGGAGATCAATCCTATGCTTTTAGTTACACAAATCTTAGTTAAAACTCTTTTAGTTCCATTTTTTCCTGTGTATTTATGGTAATAAACTCAAATAACGAGCGTACTGGGACCTGGACAAAGTCATTCCATGTTGACATTCCGCTTTTTGTTGTCCGAATCGCACTAACAAATTTGTGTCAATGTCCAATAATAAATTGAAGTGCAATTTCAACGCCCTCTGAAACGTGACCCAAACAACTGCATTGGCCCTCACCTCACCCACTTTTCGGAGCGAGTAGAGGAGTCCGGATAATTGTAAATGATTTGCCCAGCCATGGAGCATCCCCTCGAGAATCGAGAAACGAGAATTCGTAATGAAATGCATATGCACGAATATCTCAATCGATGCATGCGGATGCATTCACCTGACCAAGCAATTGAAAACAACAGTCTTATTACAGCTTATTGACTTTCAAAGAAAAACAAAAACGAAATAGAGAGACACCTTAATCTAATGGCTAAACATTTCCGTTTTAGCTTCGACTTCCGTTCGCTTTTTGTGACGCATTAAATTCCAAATTGAAAGCCGCCGAACAAATGCGTCAGGTGCGGAGAAATGACTCAATTATGGCCGCGTTGAGTAGTCTTTTGTTTGCTGCCAAAGGCAGGCAGATATCTTATCGATACGGGGTGGAGATAACCGAAAGAGCCCGTGTTTGAGGCCTCGAACAATGCATTCGATTGCCCTCGGTTATTCAGTCGGTTCCAGCTTGTTTGCTCTATGACAAAAGCGCTGCATTACAGCACAATCCCATAACAACGTGGCGCCTTTTCAGCGATTTTTCTGGGCAATCAAGACGAGCGTGCCCGCCGCAGGGAGAGGTGTTAGCTGCAATGCTTAACTCGCACTCGTAATTATGTTAATTGCATCAAAAGGTCGCCTCCGTTGGATGAGTCAATGAGTCACTCGAATGCCAAGTCAAATTTCGAATCAGAATCTCACTCTCAAGTGGAAATCTCAAGAGATGAGCGACAGATGCTTGCCACTCGAGCACCGCTTTGTCTGCAGTTCGTTTACCTTTTCGGTGGGCCAAGTTTTTCCAGCTGATCCCCAATACCAAACACCCAGAGTAAAAAAGATCACAGAGCCACTGGCGGAAAGGTATATCGCATGAATACAAATGGGGCGGGACAACGAAATGTTTACTTCCTCGGAGGCGGAAAGAACCCCATAAAATTAACAGTCAGCTGGCATTATGCAAGATTCGGCAAATCATTATACAACGTGTATAAATATATATATATACATATATAGTGAGTGTTTGTGAGGCGGTGTCATTAAGAATGTGCGACACATAAACGGCATGCAAACCTGATCCACATGCCAAATAAACCAAGTTTACTTCAAGCACATAATGTTCTATAGCCTATAAGCTGGCTGTAAGACGATTTGCCGTTGTAATTGGCCAGACAACAAATTCTAATTCGAATTAAATTCTAAATAGTTATACACTATAACTGTTAAGATAACCTCGCATTGTTCTCCGCTGCAGTGCACTTCCCTGATGGGCAAACTGTATATTTTCATTCGATTTCTCAATGTTACAATTTACAATTAGCAATCGAAACGCTTCCTTAATGCGACCGATGCTCGCCGGAGATCGATTAAGAGATTTTTCACACCTCTCTACAAGTCACGTTGCTGTTCCCATATACAAAAAAAAAAAAATGCATGTACATATCAAGTATACGCCATGGAGCCACGGGGTCTCTGTGTGCTTCTCTCTATATAAATTATAAGCCAGTGTGGCGGCAGTCATAAATTATGCAAGTCAGATAGAAATGCGACAGTGTGAGGAGCCAGGACATGCCGCTGCCATCTAATCTGATGGCCATAAATCAAGTTGGCAAAACAACAACGGGTGGCCGGACAAGCGCAGCCCATTGATCTTTGCCTGGGTCTCTGCGTCTCTGTATCCCTCTTCCTTCCTGCAGTCACTCAATCTAGGCTTTCCCTTCTCTCGTCCCCAGATCTACCTGTCCCAGTTCGGCTATCTGCCCGCCTCAGCCCGCAATCCGGCCAGCAGTGGGCTGCATGACCAACAGACCTGGGTGAGCGCCATCGAGGAGTTCCAGAGCTTTGCGGGTCTGAACATCACTGGCGAACTGGACGCCGAGACCATGAAGCTGATGTCCCTGCCCCGCTGCGGTGTGAGGGATCGCGTGGGCGCCGGCGAGGGTCGGTCCAAGAGGTATGCCCTCCAGGGCAGTCGGTGGCGGGTGAAGAACCTCACGTACAAGATCTCCAAGTACCCGAAGCGGCTAAAGCGCGTCGATGTGGATGCTGAGATTGGACGCGCCTTTGCCGTGTGGTCCGAGGACACCGATCTGACCTTCACCAGGAAGACCTCTGGACCCGTGCACATTGAGATCAAGTGAGTTGCTTGTTACTTCCCCCCTTTCGAATATATTCGAAGGTTACTTATGTCTTAACTATCTATAACCAGGTTCGTAGAGAGTGAGCATGGTGATGGCGATGCTTTTGATGGCCAAGGTGGCACCCTTGCCCACGCCTTCTTCCCGGTCTTTGGCGGAGACGCTCACTTTGATGACGCTGAGCTGTGGACCATTGGCTCGCCCCGAGGCACTAATCTCTTCCAGGTGGCCGCCCACGAATTTGGTCACTCTCTTGGACTTTCGCACTCCGATCAGAGTTCGGCATTGATGGCTCCCTTCTATCGCGGCTTTGAGCCTGTCTTCAAGTTGGACGAGGACGACAAGGCGGCCATTCAGTCACTGTATGGCAGGAAGACGAACCAGCTGAGGCCCACCAACTTGTACCCACCCACCACACAGAGGCCATCGTTCTCGCCCCCAAGGTGCCCCTGGATGACTCCATCTGCAAGGACTCCAAGGTGGACACGCTCTTTAACTCGGCGCAGGGCGAGACGTACGCCTTCAAGGGCGACAAGTTCTACAAGCTGACCACGGATTCGGTGGAGGAAGGCTACCCGCAGCTCATCTCCAAGGGCTGGCCAGGATTGCCCAGCAATATCGATGCGGCGTTTACGTACAAGAACGGCAAGACATACTTCTTCAAGGGTACCCAATACTGGCGCTACCAGGGCCGCCAGATGGATGGTGTCTATCCGAAGGAGATCAGCGAGGGATTCACTGGCATTCCCGATCATCTGGATGCGGCTATGGTTTGGGGGGGCAATGGCAAGATCTACTTCTTCAAGGGCAGCAAGTTCTGGCGCTTCGACCCGGCCAAGAGGCCGCCCGTTAAGGCCAGCTATCCGAAACCCATCTCCAACTGGGAGGGAGTGCCCAACAACCTGGATGCTGCGCTCAAGTATACCAATGGGTACACGTACTTCTTCAAGGGTGACAAGTACTATCGGTTCCACGATGCCCGATTTGCGGTAAGCAGAGATGCTTGATTACCATTTCTATTTTCTTCTATAATCAATTTATATTTTCCCTAGGTGGATACGGCCACGCCCCCTTCCCCAGACCCACCGCCCACTGGTGGTTCGGCTGCAAGAACACGCCCTCGTCCACAGGTAATATCGTCGAGGGTTCGGACTCTGAGTTCGAACAGCACTCCCTGATCCCGCACGCCGAGGATGGTAATGGTGACTTTGACGCAGGTGAGTGGGACCGACGCGACGGTAGTTTTGTGTGAAACCCGAATCGATCTGCTGGAATCGAGATCGATATCTCGCATTAGAGATCGAAATCGAGGAACGAAATCGAATTGAAAAACCCCAAACTTTGTAAAGTCAAAAAGATCTCATAGAAAAGAAGTCTTGTATGAGTTGTTACTTAGCGAGAAGAGAAGTTAAGAGTCGTGCAGTGATTAAAGAGCGACAATTACGTTAATAAAGTCCTATCTATATGGTATGTTTAATTAAGTTAATGTCTATGTAGTGAAATTCTATTACTCAAGTCGAATGTGTTTGTCTTTGTTGCCTATGGAAGAAATACATTTATAATTCTTATTGATCAAAACTAATTACTGTGTATGTCCAATGTCTTTTGCTCAGTCTATATAGATTTTGTATTTACATATATATATCTTGTACCTTTATTATTTTCTTTGTACTTTTGATTTTGTGGTGTTTTACTTTAGTTTTGTTTCAGTGTTCTCAAGCTGAGAACTACAATATACCAAACATACACTAACAATTTTCTTAATTTATATATTTTACTAATTAATTATATTTTACTTACTGTATTATTAATTTTATAAAACTTTTAAGACTAAACCCAAAACTAACAAAACTTTTGCCGAATTTCCACTTACTAACATTGTGTGTATTTTTCCTATTAACCCAACTAACACTTTCTATATCTGATGCCTAAGGCTGAGGGTTATATATTCTAGAAAACTAACCAACTCAATTTAGCATACCATGTACAAAAGAATAAAAAAAAAGATCTAAGCCTAAGAAACAACAAACAAAAATAATTTAATACCTTGCTTACAGTTTAATAGCCCAAAATAAGACATAAATATCTCTGCAGCAGCAACAACAACAACAGCAATGAAAACTACTGGTCAGTCGGTCTCACTAACTGTGGTTCCCAGATCAACGCCACCCAATACCATTTTCGTAGTCCTTAAGTCACGATCCTAGCATGTGCACTTAATCTAACCAACTAATACGTAGAAAATACTCGACTCTATATGGCATGTGCAATGAGTTACTAACCCGCTAATGTTTTTAAAATATGAATTAAAAACACTTTTACAACACTATTTCTAAAACACCACAAGTCCCGAAAATTAAGAACACCACCCTCCCACCCCCTATATGGTCGAAATTTAAATGTAGTTCTGTAGCACTAAGTATTTATCTAGTTATGGTAATATTAATATTTGGTTTTCCACTCCGCCTCCGCTCCCCTGAACTAAACTCTTTACCCTGTACGTAGTTTGTGGCATTTTCCAGGACTCGCTAGAGTCCTGCCAAGTGACCATGTGTAACCGTTCTTTCCTTGTTTTGGCACCCCCTCGGCACAAAATTCCCAATGGCTAAACAATGGCTGGATGAGCTATCCAAAATAAAAAAATAATAAAACAAACAAAAATACCTTCACCTCCACCCCACACACCCACTCACACCTACCACGAAAAAGTGACACTTACACTCCTGAAATCCCCACGTTAATTGCATGAACTAATCTAGAGCAAACAAAAGATTTACACCTGCATGGGGAAGTTAAAAAGCCTCACAAGTTGGCTACAAGTCGTCAGGTGAATGGTTATTACTAAGTTTATGCGATGTAGTTCATGAATTCTTAGAAAAGCTTTATGAAAATACCAGACCAATAAGAGATTACATGAATTGGACAACGCATAATCGCAGTAATATGTACGTACATCACATACCGTTATGACCCACAATCGGTGATTTGTACGACATTCGCTTAACAATCGCATGCACGTGCCTGGCCCATAACCGTTAAATTTGCATTCAACCAAAAAAAAAAATAAATAAACCAAAAGCCAAAAAGCACAATTCGAAATTCGAAATGTATTCGTCATTGTCATCTGTGTCTGTACGTATGTATGTACATATGTATGTATATTTCTTGCAGGCTTTAAGAGACGCGGATATAAAAACAAGAACAATTAACCAGAGCACACATCCAGAAACAACAACAGCAACAGCAAGAACCACAAACGAACGAACACACCAACTCCATAACAACACACGCACACACATATATACCCATACGCAGTAGAAATACAAAGCGAATCTGCCGCCATCTGATTTCTCTCCAACTGTCACAATTTCTCCTTTCTTCCTCTGCCCTCCATTTCTTAATGTACTCTGTACTCTTTGTGTGTGTGTAGTTGTAGTCGCCGCCATGCTGCTTTGCATTCTTCCTGCGCCCATGCTGTAACTGTATTATCATCCAGCTGATCGCCCTGCTGCCACATCTTAGTAATTGTTTGAGCACATTATCCCTCCTCCCTTCCAATCAGCAATAATTGACACTGTACTGTTTTATTTACGTCATTCTTTACTTTTGTTTTTCTTTGAAACAACAAAAAATATACTCTTCTTTGTGCGCACACACACACACACACACACACATTCGGTATACAGCTCCGCAAGTGCCCAATAATCAGGGCATCCTGCCCGGCTGGATGTGGGGCCTTACGAACAGATTCTTCTAGAATCGAGAGGATCTCGATCGTCCCTGTGCTCGTGTGTTGTGTAGCCTGTGTGTCCAGTTGTTAAATTGCCAGCATTAAGCTATATCCATCGCCCGCTTGAGTGATCTCTGTCTGAATATATAAAGCCATCATCAAACAAACCAATCGAAACATACTATATAAACATGCCACGCCCACGATCTGCGCCGCCTGCCGAAACGCCAAACCAAGCCAAATAGAAAGAAATGAACGAACGAACTCACAGAGTGAAGAGTATGTTAATAATTATTTTAATTTGATTAATTTCCCCCCTTAAGTTAATTAAGCTAATTTTTTTAAATTTACTTTTAAACTTTAAATTCTTGCACAAAAAACGCGTATTGAATTTTCTAAATATATCTACTTATATATAGCTTAGATCTACGACTATTCTGCACAGACTTCCCCTAAAACTTATCATCTAACTTAACTAACTTGAAATCTTAAAATCACTTTTTTCACTTAGCCGTTGGCGATCACCAATCCAATGACGAACCCTTCGAGCCGGAAACGGCCGAGCGAACCGGAAATGGAGCCATATCGCTTAAGCAACTGACGAGCACGTCCGCCGTTAACACTGTGATCACCACCATCCTGATGTGCCTCGTGTCCAAGTTCATCGTTAGCTAAAAGAGCCACACAGATCCTAGTGACCCGTAGGCAGTGCATTTTGTCAACCGTAGGAACAAAGAAATAAATTATAACAACTCGAGTAAAGTTTCAAAAATTTTACCGCATGTTGGGCACCGAGAAATCGCTTGAAATTCAAATGCGTAACGTCATACATAATATCGAATACGATGAAAGGAAATCCAAATTAAAACGAGAATGAAATCAAACAGAATATCAATTGTAAATTGAGCTATCAGCATGTGAAACAGGTGCCTTATCAAATACTTTTGTTGTTGTGTAAATACAAAAATCAGCCCTAACTATAATAAAATAGTTTATAACATTCCGCATTCTAACGACAAGCGACAGCCAGCCGATATCAAGAGTCGTGGTCATAGCAGAAATTCTTTATGTAGTCAACTGTTTTGGTAATGCGATAATTGCGATATTAAATTTAACGAGCCATATGCAATGAATCGGAGTAGAAGGAGACCAAACAAGCTAAAATCTAATACTGAACGATTAATCCCATTGAGAGAACGTACTTTAGTTTAGGTCTAATTGTTAATGTGTGCACGAGTGCTGTGTGTACCGATTCGGCAGACACTGTAAATGTTTTAAGTTTTAAAAAACGATGCGTGACTCGACTTGACCATAAACTAATATAAAAATCATCATCGAGTACATATGATTATTATATAAGTGATATTTAAGCCAGTCCCTTAAGCGATATTTGTTCGGGTTTAATATTTAAAACCGAAATATTATTTAACTTACGTATTATTATGTGTAATTTTATTTTGTATACCATAAATGTACGCTGAAACGAGAGAAACTGAACAAACAAGAAACGAAAATAACAAAAAATAAACAAATCGTAAATCTAATGATGACAGAAACTAATTATATATTATTTGAGACGTCTTCAAAACTATTAATTTGCTAGACGTTTGAATGATAACTTAGTGATCAGAATCGGCTTCCAGCTGGGCATACAGCTCTGCAAGACGGTCTTCCTTGTTCGGCGAAACCTTGTCGGTGGTCTCTTTGGCACAATGGCCTCGCCTGGTGAAACCTGAAAACAGCCAGCCAAAATAATTGGGTTCTGAGTAAGATACGAGGAAGGGGGTTAGATAGAAGATCCTTGACAAGGAATTAATTTACTTTTAATTTTCTGCAGATCCTCTTTTTCTGGGATATTATCTATGGGGGTTTGTGTGGTTGGCTTGTCAACCGGTTTGGGCTCGGGCATAGCCTCGTCGGGAATGCCCAAATATTCACGTTCGGTTTTAATGTCGCGCATTACATGTACTGCGTGTGATCCTAACACTGGTATATAGGCTGATGGATTCGGGCACGGCTCCGATTTGGGCACGATAGCCGATGAAAGTGTGTCTAAAAGTGTACGAAATATTTTAGCTTGCTAAGCTATTAAGACAGAGATCATACATACCTCCTAAAATGTTCTGTCTGATCTGAAAGCTCTTTAGGATGGCCCCGTATTCGGCCATCTGGCGCTTGAGCTTCTCTATCTCGTCCTGTTCATTTGTCTTTCTCTTTTGATCTTTGCCATCGTTACTGGAATCGGAGCCATTGTCGCTGTCGCTTATAGTAATTGACTCCACGGGTGGAGGTGAGATAACTTTACAATCGGCATTATCGTCATCGCCGCCGGCACCACCACTTGGCATGGTCATTGCCAACATTTGGCATGAGTTGGCGCACTGCATCATTTGCATGCCAGAGCGCTTCCTAAGCCGCCGAAAGCGGACTGTAAGGGTACGCCCATTCAAGGGACAGCTGACCAGCTCCTTGAACGCAGCTATGGTAGCCTCTGGACAGGCGTAACGCACAAAAGCGTAGCGAGCGCGCTTCTCGCGCTTCAGCACTCCGATGTCCACTCTTAGAGCGTTGACAAAACAGGCCTTGATGGCCGATGTGGTCATGTTAAAAGGTATGTTGCTCACATACAGGGAACACGGATCAATGAAATCGGCTTGCTCCTCGTCTGAGAAGTGCTTGTGCTCCGCCTCTAGGAACCCGGTTCCAAAGCGTACCTTGTTTATGTCGGCTATGGCTGCTTCGACATCGGCACCACTCTTGAGGTACACCAGGCAGTATCGGGGAGCCACGCTGTGTGGCATGACCACATCTCGAATATCTTTGGATATGTCAGTTAGCATGGAAGATGTGACCTCTGGGTCAGGGAAGCGGACAACAAGCACGACGGATGTGTTACTCTGGCCCGGTTTGAAGGTGAGCTCGCGTTCTAAGGCCAGAGCCTTCATTGTGTCCTCGCGGCGAGACTTGGCCTGCTCGCGGCGCGATAACTTTCCCTGTGAAGTCTCTGCTGGGGATTTAAAAAATATAGGAATATATAGGAATATAAGAATATATAGGAATATAGGAATATTAGGAGTATTCACTAGACACTAGACCGTTGCTTACTTACCTTTCTTGCCACCAATGGCGCTCTTCTCTAGATCAAGGTCGTTCTCAGAGGTTGGACTCCAAATGAGTTGGCTGACGGCCGGCGTAGGCTGGAACATGAACGACTCCAGCGTGGAAGTGCATACGTTGCCCGGAAAGGGGGCGACATGAGTGGCATCCAACGACACTAGATTGCCATGCACTCCTAACTTATCCTTATCTTCGGTAGTGTCTACACGCTTCGGTTCTGGACCGTCGCCAGTCTCGGAACCCGGCCGTTTCGAATCCATAATTCGTTACAAAAATAAAAACTAATTTTACCAACCTACGTGTTCCTAAGTAAATTGTGCTTAGAAAAATACAATTCACTAGGAAGTGTTAATCAACCGAATGTAAGTAAAATAATGACTGTGGAACTTGTAAACAAACTGACACTACAACCAGACCCGCTCCATGGCTTGCTGATCCGAACAGCTGCTCCGTGTTTGGTATCCCCAAGTAGTGTGGCCAGCCTGTCCGGGCGGAACATCTGATTTCGCAGTCGTTACATCAAAACAAAATGTGTTCGGCAATTCTTAGGAGCTCGATATTGCTGAATTTAAGGTCCTTAGCGCCTATATCCCACCTCCAAAGGCTGCAGTAAGTAGTTACATAATTGTCTCTAAACATATAACCAATCTTTCCATTCAGCACCAGCTCCGCGCTGTGCAAGTGGCGGAATGTGGCCTCTGGCGATGTGGAGCGGAAGCTTTTATACGGCGATAAGCTGGCGGAGAACTACAAACTAATCTATCGGGCCCCCATGGAGAGCTATGTGACCTGGACGAAGAACATATCCACGGCCACGACCTCTATTCTGGGAGTGGTGGCCGCCTATCACTGGGCCACCACCTGGCAGGTCGTCAACGTTGTCCAGAAGATGGACATAGCCATACTGGTGTCACAGGAATCGGATTTGTACTTCTTCCTGGGGGGCTTTGTGCTCATCAACCTGGCCATACGAACTTTTGTGGCCAAGTACCCGTTGAGGATCTACAAGAGTCCTGAGAAGTAAGACCACAATAATATTAATTTTCGATGAGTACTTTACTTGGTTTTCTTTTCAGATACGTGGCTGTATACGGATCCCAACTGCCGGTGGGGACAGTAAAACACTATTTCGAAAAAGGGCAAATCTCTGAATACAAAAATTTCCTGAATCCTTGGAAACACATTATGTACAAATTGGGGAATCGCTCCTCCATGCTGTTGGTCGACTATTTCAAAACGCCCTCGGAGTTCCACCAGCTATTCGCGACTCAGTAACAGACATTGCATATTAGTTCATGTTGTAAATTGTTGAATAAATAAATATTTTAAAATACAAAACTGTCGGCATCGCGATGTAAACAAAGTTGCGGCGTTGCCAGATCAAAGAATGGCCCGCAGCATGGTTGGTATATATTAGCGGCCAATGTATGGTCATACTGAGTTCCACGTGCAGCCCAAAAATTATGGAACTCAAAAAAATGGAGCCTCTGAAAGATGATTCGGTGGATACGGGGACCAGTGGAGAGCCGGCCCGGAAGCGCCGCAACCCCTTCAACACGCAGCGGCTCAAGGAGGAGAAGGAGCGGCGCCAGAAGAAGCGGGCACGCCTCATCGTCCGGAACATCAGCTACAAATCCACAGATGAATCGATGCGGGAGTACTTTTCGCAGTGGGGAACACTGGAGGATGTCCAAATCCTGAAGCGGGGCGACGGCAAGTTGGTGGGCTGCGCCTTTGTCCAGTACGAGACCATCAACCAGGCCACCAAAGCTATCCTGCACTCCAATGGCAAGGAGCTGCTGGGACGCAAGATATTCGTGGACTGGGCCCTGGGCAAGGATGAATATGTGGCCAAACATCCCAAAGAGGAGCCCGAGGAAAAGAAGCCCAAGGTGGAAGTGAAGGAGGAAGGTGAAGAAGAGGAAATCAAAGTGGAAAGTGACCAAGAAGATGATGGAGATAAGGAGGAAAACTCAGGAGAAGAATCAGAGGCAGAATCGGGTGAAGATAATGCTGAGGACGATGACGGAGACAGCGATGAGGAGGATGAGGATCAGAAAGAAGACAAAGACGAATTGAAATCAAAGCTCGACATTAAAAACGTCAAAAAGGAGAAGCTGATTTCCAACGATGTCCAACAAGGCTGCACGGTTTTTATCAAAAATGTGCCCTTCGACGCCGAGGACGCGGATCTGCGAAAGGTGTGCCGCAAGTTTGGACTGGTCAACTATGCTATCATCAATCGCCAGGCTGTTTCAGGGCACTCCAAAGGCACTGCCTTTGTGAAATTCAAGGCCAAGGAATCGGCAGATCTGTGCCTGCAGGCTGGCACCGAGTTTAAGCTTATGGATGAAGTGTTGGATCCCCATCCTGCACTTAGTCGCGAGGAGATGAAGTCGAAGCAGTCGCAGGAGAAGAGCAAAGATGACGTTGGCAAGGATTCTAGAAACCTGTATCTGGCCAGGGAAGGTCTTATCATGTCCGGATCGAAGGCAGCCGATGGGGTTTCTGCTTCAGACATGACCAAGCGCCATGAACTGGAGCAGGTTAAGACCCAAGTGCTGAAAAACTTGAATCGGTAAGGTTTTTCTTTATCTCAACGAATAATTTTGTATTATATGCCTTAACCCTCTTTCAGATTTGTTTCGCGCAACCGGTTATCTATTCACAATCTTCCCCAGAACTATGACAACGAAAAGCTTAAGCAAATGGCTCAAACATACACTGGCTTCCGGCCCCACGAATGTCGTGTGATGCGGGAACAAAAGGTGACACCAGAGCATCCGCAGGGCAAGTCCAAGGGCTTCGGTTTCCTCTCCTTTGACACACATCAGAGAGCCTTAACGGCTCTGCGGAAATTGAACAACAATCCCAGCATATTTGGAAACCAGCACGTAATTATATCCTTTGTAATAATACTCCTCCAATTATTAATCTTTAAACCCTTATGATTAGCGTCCTATTGTGGCCTTTAGTATAGAGGATCGAGCCGTACATAAGGTGAAGGAGAAGCGCACTGAACGCTCCAAGCTGAACAATCCCACATACCAGGCCAAACAGCAGCAGCGCAAGGAGCGTCGCCAGCTGCAGCGGAATGGCAAAAAGGCTAACCCACCAGGCCCCCAGACAGACAACAAGGTCAAGTTGCAGAAGCACATCAAGAAACTGGAGGCAACGCGGGCAACCAAGATCGAAGGCAAGGCGAAGGAACAGAAGCAACAGGACAGCGATGTCCAGAGCGATTTCGTAGGCGCGGCAGCCAAACCTGGCACCTCGCTAAAGATGCGATCCAAGAAAAAGATCATGGAACAGGCTCAGGAGCACATGAAACGGGTGAAGACCGAAAAGCGCAAGCAGAAGAACAAGAAGATACGGGAATCCCACCTGGCCGAGCGCAAGGCCAACAATCGACCCAAGCAGGGACGCAAGAAGGAGAAGGATGACCTGCGACCCCTAATTAATAAGTACAAGAATATGATCAGCGGCAATCAGGATGGCGGCGGTGTCAAGGGCGTCACGGGAGGTAAAATTAAGAAGCCCAAACGCACGAAGTGGTATACCGAGTGAAGTTCCCCTGTCTAGGCTAAGGATTCTTTTTAGCAATAAAACTGTAAATGAAAACATCAATCCAGGTATCGATCAGGTAGTTTCCAGGGATTAAAGGCCAACCATCTGCTTGGATATGATTCTACCTGAACAATAAGGCGTATATATAGTCCGCGGGTTGAAGCAAGCTCATCAGTATTGCATAGCAGTGCCTCCGAAGCGTTTCGAACGCTCTAAATTGAATTAATAACTTCAGCAAGAAGATGGCTCCTCGAGAGAAAGTTGAGTTTGTCCTAGTCCGCCTGGCCTATGCGCCTCACATGTAAGTAGTGAAGAGAGTTCAAGGAAGGGGCCTCCAGAAACTTATTAAAGCGAACTCATTTCCACAGTCATCCGCTGTATCCGCACATTAGCTACCAGATCCGAAAGCATCCGCCCACGGGATCGGTCATCCAGGTTCGCGATTGGTTCGAGCATGTCATGATGCGGGAGCGCTCCAAGCTGCCACCGGATGTCAATCTACGGTATGCCGAATGGCGCATCATCACTGGAGACGCGAATCTGTTCAGCGTGGAGAGCTATCGCTACGATAAGATCATGCTGGTGCTGGGCGAGGAGAACATCTCGTGGGTGTTTTACACTAACAACGCGATGGAACGGCGCATCGAGGGCAGCGCCTGCTTCCCCGTCAGCTACTGCGGCTGCTGTCTCAACAATCAATATCTGCAGATTATGGCCAAGATCAAGCAAACTTTGTCACGGAAGAAGATTCGATAGAATAAAGAGATTTAAATACTAATGGAAACAAGAGTTTATGTTAAGATGAACGCTTTTTTTGATAATTCACTATTTGCTAGCAACTGTGCCTTTATTCCAGCCAGTGGAAGCGGGAGCCATACTTGGCCGGAGGCGTGGGGTAATCCTTGGGCAGACCTGGAGTGGCATCGGGATAGGAAATCTTCTCTTCCTTCTTGGGAGGGTCCCGTGCGGACTTGATGACCTGTTGAATGAAGTGGTTTACATCGAGGCTTGGGATAGCCTTTAGTAAGAACTCACCTTGGCCCTGGCAAAGTAGCCGTAAGAAGGACGGTCCCAGTCAAAGTTGTCCTTAACGCACTTGTCGAACACACCCTGCGTCTTGCGGCAGCTGCAAAAAAGAGCAGGACTTGGCTTATACACCTCTGAAACGTATAATCTTCGATACCCTTACTGTCCAAAAGCCATGGTTCCACTGCTCTTGTCCAGGCAAGTGGCGTACTGCATGAACTCCTCATGACAGGTCTTCTTCACCTTGCGGAAAAAGTCCAGGGCACAGCCGGTCACCGCCTTGCCCTCTGCCAAGCAGGCTCGTGGATCGTCCAGCTCCTGTCTACAGAGCATGAATTCCTGCAATTTTACATGGAAAACAAAACGTAAACAAACCCAGAAAGGTACGTTTTGAGGTTAGGTTATATAACTTAAGCGGTGAGATTTAATGGTTTCCGCCGGTTCCAGCTCCGATTGGAGCTGGTTGTCAGTTGGGCATTGCCATTGGGAGTATCTGGGATGTGATGTAGATGTACTAACATTGTTGGCTTGCTCGCATTGCTTGCCCAAATGGAAGGCGCCCGCTCGCAGAGCCGCCGACGAAAGATTCAGCTCCTGGGTGTCCAGCTCCGCCTCCTCGGGCAGTGTTGTGTTGTTGGTGATGACCATTTTGGCGTTTGTTTGTATGCGTTCTACTCAATGCCCTGTAAATGGTTTGCAATTATAGAAAACCTCGAAATTATTAATTTTTGTGGCCAGAATTTACGTTTGCTACAACACAACAGCTGTTTTTTGTGGTCCAGGGCTGCGTTAACTTAACTGTCACTTTGACTTATCGATAGGTCACTACCACACAAGTAATCGATACTTGGCTCTCTATTTGAATTTTCGAACAAAAATAAGCTCTTTCCAAAATGGTTATTTTTATTTTTCACGTTATTTCTATACTTTTTACAATCGCGGCAGCTGCAAGCAATTTAAAAGACATTAACTACGACACCCCTGTTAATAGCATTGTCAATGATCTGATCGAGAACTGGGAGTCGCCTTTTGCTTACCTGAAGAGTCGCGGCTACCTGTCAGAGGATCTGCCATCTGCCCCAGATTTCCAGGATTTCCAGCAGCAGCTGCAGGGGAATTTGGGCAAGGAGCTGGCTCTTGAAAAGGATTCCAAGCGAGGATTGGACAAAAAAGAAAATAATTGCGATTCAAGGGCTCTTCGATCTTCTGACGAGTCAGAACATGATAAACTGAAGGATATGTTCTATAATTTGTTCAGCTCAAGGACGGAATCAGCGTCAGATGAGCTCAAGTCCAAGCTGGACGTTGACTGGGACATGAATGCCCTAAAATATTCTGCCCGGGAGAGTGCCGAAAAGTATGTCAAGGCTCTCGAGGAAACAGGCAAACCGAAGGACCAAGCTGAGGAACCTTATTTAAAGAAACGTCAGGCTCAGCATCCTTTGCGAAAAGAGCACCTGGGACAAGACCATCTACTTAAACAGACTGTGCCTTTTGCCCATCCGAAATTTTCCAGTGGCTTGCCCAGGGCTCTGAGAAGTCTGAGAAAGGCAATACGGAGATCGAAAATGGAATCGCAGAAGAAAAATCACGGGAATATATTTCTAGAACAAACAACTGGAAAATCTTTATCATTAAAAGTTAACTGAGTTGTGAAATGGCTTAATTAAGTTGGGGGAGGCTGGCTTGTGCCAGAAGCAGACGCGATTGAGCCGCCGCCAATTTGATATTCATGGCTGTCTGGTTAATCGCAGTCATTATCAGATGAGACGGAAACCCGTTTAGTGGGCGAAGTTAGTATAAAAGCTCGCTAGCCATTGGCTCATTGTTTCAATCTATTTGCTGCTCTAATATAATGCTGAAATACGTGAGTTTTTGCTGAAACTGGGTTGGATTTCAAATAAATTAAACAATATCCGCCTCCAGGTTTTTGTCTTTGCTTTGCTGGTGACTCTGGCCAGCTGCAATGAGGAGGACTTTAATGCCGTACTCCTCAAGGCCGAGAACCACCAGAATCTGGACGGCGCCGGACAATTTAACCACGAGACCAGCGTCAGTAACGGCATCCAGGTTAAAGCCCAGGGCAACGTGAATGGCATACAAGGCGAATACTTTCTGCCCGGCGAAGATGGCAAGCAGATCCGGGTGACGTACACAGCAGATGCCACCGGCTTTCATCCCAAACTGGACAACTGATCGCCTGACCTTGGCAATATAATTACGAGTTAATATATATGTATATATTCTTAGTAGATATTTACGACGCTGCTGTTTGTCATAATGCGTGTAAATCAATGGAAAGAGTGTCGTTATTTGGTCACAATTAAACGTTAGCAGCTTTGTGAAGCACATAATTTATGGCCAAGAAGATCGGGGGCAGCACCCGCAACAGGTTACACAGGAATTGGGGGGACGACGACTTACATGCCCGTCTCTGGGTATTTAAGCAATTGGTCTGGTTTTGGGGGTTAACAGTTGAGTTGTTCCTAAGCTTACAAAATGTTCCGATACGTAAGTTGATGATCCAAAGTTATCCTTGGGCTCATTATCATCCTCCTGCAGTTGGCCTTTGTCCTGCTGATCGGTGCCTGTGTGGCCACCGATGACGATGCCCACGCTCATGTGGCAAAGCAGTACAAAAAGGAGGATGGACATGGCAAGTTCTCGTATGGCTTTGACATAACCAATGGCATTGGTGCCGGCGAGGCTGGAGATGAGCATCAGGTGAACGGCGAGTACCACTTCATTTCAAAGGAAGGTCTACCTGTAAAGGTATCATACACTGCCGATGAGAACGGCTATCATCCGCACGGGGATCTGCTGCCCACGCCACCACCCACACCGGAGGCAATCCTGCGGGCACTGGCCTACATCGACGCCCATCCCAAGAGGGAGGAGCCGCGCCCTGTTCATCATCAGACTCCTCATTCTCATCCAGTGCATCCTCAGGCGCCTCGTTCCCATCAAGTAAATCATCAGCAGTCTCATTCGCATCCTGTGCATCACCAGCCTCCTCGTTCCCATCAAGCGCATCCTCAGCAGCCTCTCCCAGTGCATCTAGCGCATCCAGTACATCCAACGGTCAGTCCCCATGGTCACCATCACCTCCACTGAGTATCCTTAGGTTTTAAGCTCCCGCAAATGCGTCGCTGATTTCCTTCTGTCATTCCCCATTGTACAAATAAAAGGTTACGACGCAACTCTCAGTCTTGTAATCAATGGAAAATGGGTGCACGAGTGGGCGTGGCAATGGCTGTACATAAAATACGCATTGTCATTCGCATAATAAGAACCCCGGGCGGAAATGGGCCCAAGGCGGCGGAGAGACTTCCTCGCCGGAAGGGAGGCCATTCGAGGCCATTGTTAAGTGTTAAATTCAAATATGGACTCGCCCATTGTGCGCGACCATTGGAATATGTTACGGAAATGACAACTTAAATGGGTGCTGTTCCCATTTTGCCCCATTTTCCGCAACCCTCCATCCGGTTATCCATGGAAAAAACACTTTGCTGCATGATGGTTATATAAATGCAATTGGCATCATCACATATACAGGGATATGCATACATACAAAGCGAAAAATAGATGAACGTGGGGATTCCCTCACAGCTTGGCATTGCCCACAGGCTGTCCGTTACCGCTGCGCGTGAGTTCCATATCCACCGAGGGCTGGCTCACCAGTTTCCGAATAGCATCGAACTTGAAATTGTTCGAGTCGCGCAACAAATCGAAGATGACACTCTCGCTGGTTGTGATCACACAGCCAGCTTGGCGTAGGCGAGCCAGGGCCAGATCCCGATCCTGATTAAGCCTGGAGGAGCAGCAGTCAGCCACAATGTAGACGTTGATGTTCTGCTCTAAGAGATCAATGGCGGTTTGCTCTACGCAAATGTGGGACTGTGGAAAAAAGGAAGTTATGATTAGTAAAATCTTTGTTAATTTTAAAAATATATGAAAAATAATATTCAAAATATAAAAGCAACAGTAAGGTTTTAAATTTATTAATATACTGTTGTAAACTTTGAATCAATTCAAATAAAAACCCAAAAAATGTCTTTGCATACTTTAAGGCACCTTTCACGTGCTTTCATAAACTTTTCCGATAAAAAACTTGACTTTTCCATTATAAATATTACTTGTACGATCATAACTCACCTCTAGACCATACAAAACCACATCTTCCGGCTTATCGTTGAATATATCCTTGATCACAGCCTTAACTTCGGGTGTAAACATGCTGAAGAGCGTCTTGTCGGACACCAACTTGGCATGGCTCACATCCAGTTGGGGCACGGTCTTGCCCAATTTCTCCGGAGAGTGTTCCGTGACAATCAGCGGGACGTCGAGAGCTTTTCCAGCTTTGGTCTGCAACCGATTACGGGGGGTTAATGCTAATCTAAGTGTTCAGATAGAGATCAATCAAAGTTCAACTTACCAGCTTGTCGACATTCTTGACCATGTTGTCGAATAGCGGCATTCCCGGCCGGAACTTTTCCTGGATGTCGCACAACAGGAAAAGGGTTTTCTTCGGGTTTAGATGGCAGCGTCGCAGGGCCATTTTGTCCAGTAATTATTTTTAAAAACTTTTAAGAACGTATACGCAATTTGCACCTGCTAATTGAATCGATTTATTGCAAACAGCTGTGGGGAGCCAGGGCTGCCGGAAGTGATAAGTGATAGCAGCGGTAGTGTTATCGTCGATAGGCTGCTATCGATCTAGGTCGTAGGCGGAACATTTAAATTTAAGCTGAGCAAGACAGAAACTCATGCTGGGCTCTAAGTTAATTAAAAAGCTCACATAATCCTCATTTAATTTAACTTTGCCCAAGGCGACATCATCAAGTAAATAATTACTAACCTGCCGCCCCCGCCGCCCCGTCTCACCTGCGCCTAGTCCAATGGCAATTAAGTCGAAGCTGCCGTTGCCGTTGCCGCACAGCCAACAGATTTATATTCATAAGCCAAGGCAGACCTGGGAATCTTCAGGCATTTATAATTGAATTCCTCGCCCAGGCCCAGGCCAGCTCCCGCCCTCGACATTATAGTAATGAAGCCACCGCCATGGCCCAGTCAATTTCAATAACGCAATCAAATGCGTGCAGTTTCAAAAACCACAAATGCCTCCATCCTGCGAACCGAATGCCATTGACATGGCCGAAATGAGTGTCCCAAGTCCAGGGCAGTCCGGCAAATGGCCATATATTGGGCATTCCCGGCACGTAGCCTCGATGGACCTCGATACTCGTACTTCTTCTGCGGAAGCCAAAAAAGGAAGCCCCCGATAATGGCCATGGCGAGTCGCATGCATATTTCAGTAATTTGCGCTGCCTTTTGTGTGCCCCGTCCATTCCTCTCTCCTCCCCCTTCCAGGTATTACTGGTCTACATATTTTATGAGACCCCAAAGTTTGCGGATGCAGCAATTCCCGGGCTAAAGAAGGGGAAACCTTAGTGGAACCACTCAAAAAGTAATCGAAATGTCTGAGACAAACACATGCGTACGCACCCACACCCACACCCACATCCGAGTACACACCTGGATGCGAGGTGTACCTGTAGTCGCCCCCGGTATCTGTATTCATGACGCCGCTCTCGCCCTATTCTCCTAGAAGAAGTCATCTTGATTTTCAATTTCGACGCCATTTGCGCTTCACCGGAATCGAGAGTCATTTGCATTTTTATACCCTATGCAGGGTATTATAAATTTAGTCAAAAGCTTGTTAAACAGTGAAGGAGCCATTTCCGGCCCCATGAATCATATATATTCTTGATCAGCATCAACAGGAGAATCGTTTTAGATATATTAGGAAGAAAAAAAAATTGTACAAATTTTTTCAAATTTTTATAAGGGGTTACATCGTTAAAATTGTCAAAATTTGATAAAATTTTGTAGTTTTTAAAATTTTAAATAGAGTTTGCAGATTTGTTGACCCAAAAAAAACTAACAATGGAATGTTCTCCGAATTGAAATTAATGCTTTTTTGACTTAGTTATCCGTTTTTTAAACTTTGATTGGTGAACAAAAATTGTCATATTAGAAATCCTAATAACTAATAGTTATGATCGATTTTGCTGTTAAAACCTTTTATTCAATTGCAAGCTGCAAGGGTGTATAAACTTCGGTTTCCCTAAATTAGTATCCTTTTCTGTTCCTTTTTAGGTACACTTTCACTTCAAGGAGTGTTTTTACTTTAGGGCTGCAAGATTGTGACAATTTTAATGGGTTTTTAGTGCAAAAAGCTGAGAAGAGAAAGTTGGATATAGAATAGAATACAGATTTTTGTGGGTCTCTTGTTTTTTAGTAGAAAATAATAGTTTGAAACGTATGTTTTTTTGAATTATTTGTCTTAGTATTGTATTGTATAATATCCTTTATTATAAATATAACATAAAAGCAGGTTAAAGGACTATTTTAGCTCTAAAATCTGGTAAATATATATCAAACCATATGCTTTTACCCTTAATAACACATTTTTTATAAATATATATATATATATATATATATCGCCTTACCCTGTCATAATTCCTTTTTACTCTTTGACAAGTGTATTTGGGGCCTAGATAAAAAGTGATAATGCTAATAATAAGTCGACACAATTGACAAAAAACTTTTTTCATTTACCCAAAAAACAACAATAAGGAAAACAAAGAAAATATCTCTCCCCACTCTCCTCTTCTTCGGCAATTTGTCGACTTTCCAGGCAGCAGCAATTTATTGGATGTGAAAATTTAAAATTGTTCATTTGTGAAACAATTTGTGAGCATCAAGTGAAGTCGAAATGTTTTCGTTTTCGTTATCGCATTCGTTTTGTTATTCGAACATTGCCAGCCATAAGTTCGGATATATGGCAATAAAAATCCAGGAACTTGAGCAGCGCCCAGAGAGAGTTTCCCCAGTGTCTGTCTGACAGACTGTATTTTTATGTGATTTCTCAGGCCATCCTCCATCTGGGGGGAAAAGGCAAGTGCTCTCATGCGAGATCGAGTGGGGAAAATGGGGGAAAATGTTATGCCATTTATTTAGAGTATTTCAAGTCGTCCATATCCCCGTCTTTTCCCCCTCTTCACTGCAATGCCATTTGCAATTGTGCAATTTACTCAATGAAATGTAAATGCGAACCAATTGTAGTTTTATTTGCCGTAATTCCTGATTCAACAAACTACTCGACTTTTGGGCGAGCAAACGCTCACGCATTTAATTCCGAATATTTGATTTCCATTTCCATTTGAATTTGCATTTGCATATTGCAGCCCTTTGCCTGCAAATATTTGATTTTAAAGACTTTTATGGGGTTAGTCAGCTGAGTTTTTTTGTATTTGTGTTGAGGTCTTTGTGGCTATCAAAAAACAGGAGAAAGCTCTTTGCTCTTGAGAGGGCAACATACATACCTGCAATGTGTAGGTGTAGATGGTGGCAGGTGATTTGATTGGCAACCCCCTTAACCCGCACCCAGGCACGCACGTCTCCTCTGTGTTTACACCTCACTCTGGAGGTCGTCTGTCTCGCATGCATATCAACGATTTTCAAATTGGCGACGAAATGATATGCCAAACTACATACACGGCGAAATTCTCCCCGGGACACAATCCTCCAGCCTCCAGCATCCAGCATCCAGCCTCCATTCCTCTTCCACCTCTGGGTCCGGCATGAAGACATGCAGCGACATCGACATTATGGAGCAAGCACAGGTTGTAGGTTGTAGCTGTAGCTAATGCTTGTCACGTCGCCTTCAACATTTGACAAGGCAAATTCGCTAAAAATTCCACCTCTGACTTTGAGCCGACTTTTTGTTTTTATTTTTGTCGTACCTTCATTCTTGTTTTCCTTTATTTTTACGTGGAAACGAAGAAAATGATTTTCACAGGTGAATTGGAAAGCGCGTAATGTCGTAATGTTTGACTTGCCGGCAGGCACGTTGGCAACACATGTCCTCCCATCCTTTTAGAGTGAGAAACACTGAGAGAAAGAATAGATTCCGGAAGATAAGGAGCATACAGTATGTAAACTTATCTTACTCTTAAGATTGATCTAATTTACAGACAGAAAAACCAGGAAAGAATTGTCTGGTCTTGCCTTTATCGTATACCGATTTCTCTCTGTGCAAGTTACTTCGATTTTGAGTGTACGTTCACGTGTCGCATCGAACTTTTTGAAGACCACGGGGCGTATGCGTATTCCACTTTTGCAAATTGGATGAAAGTCTTTGGCTTTTCAGCCACGCAATTCCGCTTGTTCCCCTTGAACCCACCGTGTCACCTGCCCCCCGCCAGGCTGCTCCTGCTCCAGCTTTAGCCTTTTTTGTGCGATGCATCAGGCTGGAAATTGACATGTCTAACAGAGGGTTGCATTTCTCAAAAGGGCCAAATTCCGAAAGCGAGCCTCCCTCATTCATCATGGCACGCCTGGCCATGTCACACAACATATAACATGTATATAAACCTATATATATATATTCCAGGCAGCAACAATTTCGAAGAAAAAGGATTTACAGCATAGATACAACACACACACACACACGGGGAAGACAGGACAAGTTCTTGGCAGCTTACTCCATGTTTTCTTTTCGGTGTGCCTGGGATTGGGATTATTTTTGTAAACTTTTCCCCAGACCAAAAACAAATTCAAACAAATTGAAGAGCTCAGCTCACCTTGGTGCCCATTAAACGAGCTGAGCTGAACATGTGTTACGACGTCCGACGAGTGCAAAATATGTTTCACGTTGCCCCTCCAAAAAGAAGAAAAAAAATAAGAAACCCGTAACTCTTTCGCCGTGGCGAACTTTTCTACGTTTTACGTTTTTATTGCCCCCAGCGTCAAGTTGGACTTAAAGTTTAGCAGATTGCAGGGAATCTGTGGAGCTGCTGAAGCGGATGGGAGCCTGCTGGAGCTTGTAGAATTTCTGGAGCGGCTGCCTTGGAGAGCTGCGATGCCTTTCAGACCCGGGCTGTCATTGAGGTTCATTGAACCAAATGCCAAGTCGCAGCGCATTTCCGGATGTGTCTCCGTATCTCGGAGTGTATGTGTCTCCTAGTGACTCTGCAAATAAACCCCGGCTGAGTGGCCTGCTTGGTAGTCACCGGCAAGGCTTTTCATATACTTATATGTGCACATAATTATGGTGACTGCCTTTGAATGCAACACTCGACGAAGGCGTTGCGACGATTTTAGAGCCATCTTTAAACAATCATTGTGAGGCCTGCTTAAAGTTCCATCATATCCGTCCACATTGGCTCTTAATTAATGTTGCATAATTATCGCTTGGGAAGGAAAATGGGAAATGGAAAATGGAAAAGGTAGCTGCTGCTAAACAAAGTTAAAGCACACCAAAGAAAAAGAAAACAAAAACGAAAACAACAACTTTTCTAAGCATCTGCAAAACATAAAGCATACAAATTCTCACATCCTTGCTGAAGAACAAGCAAAAAACAAAAAAAAAAGAGAAGAAATTGTGGCCAGGCTCAAAGGAAACACACACACACATACACACAGAAAAGTCCCAAAGGGCAAGCGGTGCCAAAGGCCAAAAACAATGCCAAAAAAAGGGGGCGTGGCCGCGGG